GGTCTAAATTATTCTACTTTCCCTCCATTTAGTTCGCTTGCTATACACTCCCTCTGTGTGATCCAGATTTGGAAGCGTATCCCTGTTTGCCCAGGTGTGCCTCCGCTGTTCCCCGTCTCCCCGTCGCCTCGCACTCTCCCTCCCTCAAATTTCGCTCTCTTGAGCGCGAGGAGCAGCAGCAGTCTGACGGCCGTCACACCCGATTGCACGCGGCGGTAGCACGCACGCCTTCCCAGCTTGCGCATAGCGCGCACGCAAGCGCCGACGCCCGCTTGCCCCGCGTGCGTTCAGCACCTTCTCTCCGACGAGGCTGACATCTCGCGTCATGCAGGCGCACGTGTCCGCCGTGTATTCTGCGAGCGTATATACACATCCGCACGGCGCTCCTGCGTAATCGCCACGTTTCAACGTTGAATCCCATCGCGCTTTGAGTGTTTTCGTATGTCTAGCGCGTTGTTTGATGTTTCCACGTCGTCGTCGCCCGCGGTTCGCCTCGTGGTTGCCCCTCGATATCGCAAAGAGCGGCTGATGCGCAATGGTGCAAAGACATGAGGCATCGCCGTCCGAATTGGTTGGTTAAAACGTAACAAATGGCTGTATGTTAGACCTTTTATTTTAATGCTCTGATGAGCTTCTAAATGTATACAACTGTACTTATTTCTATGTTAATTTCGTTTCATGATAAAATAGTGTGGCAAATAGAGGGAAGAGGGAATCGTTTATTCATTTGCCTGCATCGAGCGCCATTTCGTGGCGAGAGGCCCGTTCTGTCTACCGCAAGTATTTCTAATTATATTTTCTCCATTTGCATCAGGCTCATAGCGAAAGTTGTTTGACACCAACTTAGGTAGTCCCCGTACAATGACATACAATGATTAGTTAGGCGCCTTCTAGCGAAATACAAAGATTTGCATCGCAGTGCTATTGCCATAGAAGGTTGTCTTATCATGTAAATGATGGGTCAGCAGTATCATTCAAGCCAAGTCCTTGCCGTAAAAAAAAAAAAAAACGTCATGAAATTACTGAATACGTGGAAAGCAGTGCAAATTACGCCTTGGACGCGTGAACATGGAAGGGCAAATTGTTTCTTCATATCTTACCGATGACGTAATTGGACTGCTTCCAAAATATTCAACGCCTTTTACCGACTAGAGCAGCTGGAAGTTCTTCAAACATAATATAATGTAAAAACGAAAGGCTTTTGGCTACGTATTATATTGTCTTATTAGATATATATAGCGCATTTTTCCAAGCACGCAAAAGGACAACTACTTCTAAGAACAAAAGAATATCGAATGAATTGATATATCTAGAGTATTACTATGCGTGATGTTAATACATGGTTGGTTTTCACTCCAGTACATAAAGCGAATTTGCGTCGAAATGTCGTGGTATACATTTGAATGCTTGCTCTGTACTATCTATACACACCTTCCCAGATCTCATATATTACCTTCAGCCGACTCGAACATATATTTTCTGCATTCCTGTGATGCCGTAAGCAGCATCCGCTGCATTTGTGCGTGTGTGTTTTGCAGTTGTATTGTTCAACACTGTTTGCGCGTATAATATTTTGAAGCCACTATATCGAAACAATGAGCCTCTTATCATATATCAATCCCCGTAAGCTTTCCTGAATGAACAGCCTATACCACGACATGGGCGCTGACCCCGGGAACAACAACACGGTGCCTAAAATAGGGGTATCAGGAAGCAAGCCACGACTATAGCCATTTACGGATCGTCGAAAGCTCCATACCGGAAAAAGTAATTATTCCGCGTTTCTTTGAAGTTGTGCGCCCATGCAGCTCTTTGCGACCGCAGTGACGCCTGCGGGCACTCCTGCGCACTGCGCGTCCTGCCGGTTTCGGGGCGTAGCGAAAACACCGAATCTGTAAGCATCCGTCCCCTTCGGGACACGGTGATGTTCCTGATATCACCTCCCCCCCCCCCCCTCCCACCCTAATTCGATCTCCCCCGGCGACAAAGGCGAAACAAAAGCGCAGTTTCCCCATCGCGGGGCCCGCTGTTTGAGTTCTGTAGCGTTAGGACAAACACACGCGAACACGAGTCTGCAGCCGCTGAGGGACCCCTCCCCGGATAATAAACGCGCGCGCCCTCACGCCCGCACCCACACACAATGATAGGGGATTATCCTCCCTGTCCGCACGCATGCTTCAGCCTATTGTGCCCTTTGTCGCACTACTTTGGCCCTCCAGAGGCAGCCATCAATTCGATTTCTCAGTCACGCTCCAACATTCCCGTTAATCTTTGCGTATCGAAATTATAGAGCAGGCGTGAACGCAGGAAAGAATTGGCCAGTGCAGCGCGAAGGGCCCTCCGACGTGTGGTTTATGTCCTATTTTACTTTTTTATATTGTTTCTTGTTCGCCTGTTTGCTTATCGCTAGTTATTTCTTGTGGTAGTTGTTCAACGTCTATACCGAAGCTTTTGATGGAAGAAGTTAAAGCCTGCCTTACACACTTTGCAGCATAAAATAAAAATAAACAAAAAGAAAGAAAAGAAAAACAATATAAACAAAAAGGTGAATTATGCCAAGTATGACAACATGTATGGCAGTGTAAAATAATGCACAGATTTTCGTGTTTCGGTACAGGGGATAAAAGAAAACGACGTGCGATAAAATTTTTTTTTTGTCGACACCCAAGTTTCACCTCTCGCGGAAGTAAGTTACCAACGATACTGCACACTGAAAGCAAATGGCGATGATAGGTTGATCACTGCTTAAACCCCGTGCTGTAACAAGAAGGGAGAGGAGGAAGTGCGGAAGTAAATGAATAGCGGGAATAGGGATCAGTGCAGCCGGAGAGCAAAGGGGAGCGGAGGGGATGACGTCGGAGTGAGTAGGGAGGGAAGACATGGAAATGAACAGCCGCCTCCCGTACCCGCCTGCGCCTTTGCGGGCGCTGAAACGGGCGCACGTGCGCGTCGCGGCTTCCGCCGCGCTAGGCGCACCCAAGCAGGGCCACGAAAAAACATACGCGCACAAGCACGAACGCGGCTGTCCACGCGCCTGCGGCATCGCGTACACGCTGCGCCTGCACCGAAGCGGGCAGCGTGTCACGCCATTAGGGAATCATTTACCGTGTCGTCGCCACGTGCAACCACTTATGAATGGGAAAGGGGAGGCGGGGCTTTCGCGAAGGCTGAATGAGGGGCCCTTCTCGCGAGGCACTCTCCGCCATGAACAGCGTGTCGTTTCGGTGTTATATTGAGTGCGCTGCGGGAACCGTAACACCGCTCTTAATATGAGCAGCCGATCGACATTGACAGCCTACCTGCATAGTTTCTTAACTTATTGCACTTGTGTTTGTTCAATTGGTACCTACGATTTGCACAGTAGTGATATGCTTTCGGAGAAAACTTAAAATGTGACTGTTTTTCGAATTTCGGTATAAGTGAGAGAGCTTATTCCATGCATTTACAGCACGAAGATCGAAACTGAAACCCAAATCTTCTCTTGTGATAAAAAGCGTTTTAGTTGATGAAAATGTTGTCGTGCTGCTCGATTCGCTACCTTAAAGATTAATAGCCTCCTTAGGCGACTTCTTTCTAAGAATCCAGCACGCGTCTCCTTCGTAAATTTGTGATATGTATGTTGTTATGATCAGCAAGCCACCCTTTGCCGCGGCCAGCCACGACGGAAAAAAGGCGGTCGCCTCACTTTGTGGCGATAAGAATGTGCGTGAAGACGCCCGGCTGGTTTTCGTGTACTGGGATGTGCGTGGTGGCAATTACCCGACGGAACACTGCTGTCGCTCAGCTGACGCAGAAATGCGACACGTGGCGTCTTTGTGTCCCAGGAAAACCCACAATGCCGAGTTTCCCTCGAAGATGGACGTCGGACCACCACGCCTCCGACTGATAGGACGTCGACGCTGAAACCAACGCCACATGTCCAGGTACCTGCCCTCGAAGGTGCCTGGCTGGCAACCAGCGTTCGACAGCTTGGGTGGATGGCCCGTGTGGCGAGATGACAGACTCATCACACCCCGCTTGCTGGAAGCAAGATTCGCTGGATGAGACATCATCGCCGGCATCCTGCACCTGTTTGGGTTGTGTATTTGCCTATGTTGGGGACGGTGCCCGCATAGTGGATCTCATCACTGCTGTAGGACCTGTTATTGGACAGTGCAGTATGGACATATTCGCCGATCTAGGGATCTGGGGGAATTAATTAGACTGTTTAAAATCAGCCCTCACGGGCTGCTTGGGGAGTTTTTCAATGTAGGGCGTTTCAATGTAGAGCTTTCCAATGTAGAGCTTTGGGCAAGAGCGCGTTTGCTATGTGAATAATGTAAATAAACCACGTGTTAAGTTCACCTTTCTCCTGCTTCGACATCTTCCTCCCTGATCTCCGGTGCCCGCAAAGGTCGGTCGCAACAATGTGTAGATGGCAATTTTTCATGACATAAAGTTTGGGTCACAATGTAATGGTTTACCTTTTGACACTGCTTACGCTAGTTTGGGCGCTTTAGCAGAAGGAGATGAAGAGATGGCGTGCCGGTGCTTGCATGGTCTCTCTGTTTGTAGTTCACAAGCTGAGGGCAGCCTAAAACAGCCCTGCTGTTAAGTGTTCACAAAGCCGGTAAACGGCACGGAATACATCTAATTTCATACAGTTCCTTGGAGGACACCGGTAAAACTGAGGATTATAAAACCTTGTACCAAATGGCTTCGATATTGGAGCGCTGTTTCGAAGTACTTATTCAGGTTCATCGCTAAACAACGTAAAGTGTTCCTTGTGGCCAGAATTTGTAATATAATTTTAGCTAACAAAATTAGTTTTCGCAACACCAACTTTCAAGTCACTATTGCGGTTCTAAATTTTCCGTGCAGAGTAAAGATTATTAGGATTATGACTGGTGGCGGGGACCTCATAGTCTTGTCTTTTATAAACACTACCAGCGGGATTTCATGGCAAAAGTATGGCTCTCATGGCATAGCCTAGACGGCTTCATACGTGAAGACACAAAAAATCAACAAATCAAAATTTATTTATGAGACACTACGTAATTGCGTCCTTGTTTGTCATTTATATTCATGCTACATTTGTGCTACGAACATTGGATCTGAGCATGTAGTTTGATAATTGCCGATGTTCCCTTTGACGAAGCTGGTAAGCTTGTACTATACACACTGCGACAGAAAGAGTACTCTTGCATGTTCCTTTTTGCAATGTTCCTTCCTGGAATACTCAGCCACGTGTGCCTCTCGTTCTTTCACTGTGAACAACGGATCGCATTGCACGACATGTCGCATTCAGACGAGGTAGTCGCAATCGCAGACTCCAGGCCCGTTTTCTGGTTCAACTTTAAGGCCCCGTCTGCAGAGATACGCAAAGAATGTATTAGTACCATGTGAGCGCGGACAACTTGTATGGTCATTGCATTACTAGAAACATTATATAGCGTGGTAACTAAAATTTTACTCCTCTTCTAATGAAACTATAAAGTAGTACGAACTTCAGCACCGAAGTAATATTCTCAAAGGTTCAATTAGTAATGAGAGGGAATGAACGCGTACATCATGAATGGAATGGAATTAGGACTAAATCGGATTTCGTTTGAGAACTTTGCAAGTGTTCTTGGAAAAGAATATAGGGAAATGATACAAATGGGCTCCTCGCAAGTGAAGAAAAGCTGTAACCTGTTTATTATATATATATCGACTCCTTTTGGTCATTATGCTACTTCAGTGTCAAATTGAGTTTTACTTTTTGCTTGCCTTTTTTTGGGGAAGGCGGTAGGGGGAGCTGGTAGTTTGTATTCTTGTTTTTCCTTTTCATAGAAGATATTCGTGATGCTTCCTAGCTTAAACTTCGGGCATATTCTTAAGATTTGTACATCTTGCTGACTAACAAAAAAAAATTGAATTAGGAGACAGACTGAATTCATGCACCCAGTGAAAACAGCTTGCAGGTGAGACTGACACCAATGCAATAAGTAGTAACCTGACATAGTTTTCTGGCTGTGTAGGTAATTATTGTAGGTCTTTGAAAAGTGTTTGTTGATAGAGAACCTTCCGAATTTAAGACGCCCAAGAACGTTTAATGGACCTTTACGCTCTGAAGTCTTCTTGCGTCAAGGAAAAACTAGTTACGCCAAAGCAGGCGTCAACGACAGGATCGTAGCAGGCGGCCGGATAGTAGGGAAACATGGAAGAAGCCATGATCAGGTCTGGCTTCCCTAGCTTCCTATCAAGGTGATAGCGAATGCACTCGGGAGAGGGCACAAGACTAATATAAGCCTATTAAATTTTCGGTTCACTTGGCTGCACAGCTACTGTCATGCGCATTACAGTAACACACCAGACGTAGTTTTTTACACTATTTATAGGCAAAATAGAGCACAAATGATCGCTGATTAACATGAAATGTAGGTCGATCAACTTTAGTGTAGTACTCCTACTTCCTTAGGTAATATAATTTTAAAGGGTTGATACTTGGACTAGGTTGTATGGGTTCATTGCAAAATCTTAACAGCACATAAAATTTTTGTAAAGGGTCGGGACCAACAGTTGAAGGGCAGCATCCTTTCCCTCTGTCCGTGTCATTCCTTTGCAAATATTCTACGCGCTTTCAACAATCTGCGAAGGGTCCCATAGATAACATGGGAGAGCTGTAAAGGATGCGTGCTATTGCAAAGCTGTACCATTGACACCAAGTCTCAATATGCACATAGGGACCTTGCCAAAGGACTTCGTGTATACACTCATTGCATAGATGTGTAAATTGAGCTTATAGACTAAGTCAGTCTAGTTGCTAAGGCCATTAGAGTCCTGCATGAGGGTCCCACTCAACACTTCTCTAATTCTGTATTCTATCAAGTTACCCCACTTTCAATAAAACTTCCACTCGCGCTTTTTCCCCAAATATACCGAATGGACTTGATGGCTTTCCAGTAAGTGCTCTCCTTTTGTTGTAGTACATGACTGCCCTCTATAGTTAAACAGTTGACCAATGCACCCAGCCATTGTACATTAGCACTCAGAGAACAAACTTTGTGGATGTGGCTGACCGATGATCTTAATGCCAGGGCCCGCATGCGATAAACTTTCACATGCCTCACTATCACTAAGAGTAAACTCGAGTATCTTGTTTTCGTATGTACTTTTGCAGAAAGCAACCAGTCAAACCGGAATTGTTATTGTACACCACGCTAATTTACTCTTTACAGCAGTGATGGCAGTGGTCACGCTATTCATTGAGATACGTTTATTTAAATCAGTAATGACATCTGTGACATAACCACTGACACACGTCTTCGTTTTATCTAATCCTAGCGAAATGATTGCTCTTGAAAGGAGCGGTAATACTCATAGATGAAGCATGCGTGTAATCTAAAAGAAAAAAGAAACTGTGTAGCTGGGCGGGACACGAAAAGCATAAAAGCAAAAGCGAGCCCATGTCTCTGTCTTTTTTTCAGAAGACTATCCACATAGATGGTTAGTAGTTTCGTTCATGATTTGATGCTACTGTAAAAGTTGTTGTATAAATGCACTTGTTCCGTTCTGTCCTTTTTTTTTTTCGTGCACTCTAGGGTTACGTACTCACCTCAGCATCCTGCAACGCTGTTCTTCGAACCGGGATGCTGTTGTGTCCGTGTACTCTACTGAGGCAGGGCTCCATAGTCTCTCGGCTACTGCAGATGCCCTGGGCCTAAGGTAGGAAAGTAAGAGGTTTGTAATTCTCATTCTGCTTGTCTGTTCTTTAAAGTACAAGCTAAAACCTGCTGACTCTAAAACGCAGGTTCGATATCGGGGGCTGCTGTCGCATTTAGGCAAAGGCGAATTGCTTGAGTCCGTGTACCTTGCGTTGTCAGTTCTCGCTAGAAAAAAATAGAAATTCACCGAGTCGTACGGCGTACCGTTGAGAAAGATAGAAGTGGGATACAGTGTGTAACAAAGACTAGAGAAGAGAAGAACAACAGAGTCCCTGTTACTTACGGCACCCCACTTCATACTTTCACAATGAACTACTACCAACTAGCCCAACTGGCAGTTTTGCTACAGCCTACGGCGTATTTTACAATTCCGGCGTGGTTTGGCAGCTAAAAATCTTAAATTATTATTATAATATTATTAATAATAATATGATTATTATTATCACTATTATTATTGTTGTGATTGTTGTTGTTGTTGTTGTTGTTGTTCAGCCCCCTGCCGGACAAGGCCTCTGCCATGTTCTGCCAGTCAACTCTGTCCTGTGCTCGTTGCTGCCACTTTATGCCCGCACACTTCCAAATCTGATCTGCCCACCTAACTTTCTGTCTCCCTCTCATTCACTTCTAATCTTTTGGAATCCAGTCTGCTATCCCTAATGACCAGTGCTTATGTTGTCTTCGTGTTATACGATCCTTGCCAATGACCACTTCTTGATTTTGACTATTATATACTTACCAACCATTTGTTTCCTGACCCCCTCTGCATTCTTCATGCCCCTCAGTGTTACACATATCACTTTCCTTTTCATTTCTTGCTACATCATCCTAAACTAAAGTTGAACCCTCTTTGTAAAGCTTTAGGTAAATTTCTACCCCGTATGTAAGTACCAGTAGGATGCATGCAGCAGTCTTATACTTTTCTCTTTAGAGATAGTGGCAATATGCCAGTCATGATTTTAGAATGTTTGCCGAATGTGCTCTATTATTATTAATAATGATGAAAAAAAAAAGGTTTTGTGCCACACCAACGAATGTGGCTTCTACAAGAGGCCTCAGCATGAAACGTGTGGTCATAAACACGTTGCTTTCTAGGTAAGCTAACTTACTTTGTGAAAGAGTCAAAAGTAGCGAAACAATATTGCTTGAAAATATAACGGGCACTTGTAATTGGAGAACTTTGCATACCGAACTTCATTTAGTGCAGCTGGTCACGTGAAATGGACGGCGCTGACCTGAACAAATATCTAGAAGGCGAGTTGTTCTTGCCATTGTTGTACAAAAGTAAAAAAAAATAATAATAAATGTTTATACTTCGCGTCTGAAAACGATCTTATGGTTATGAATGACACCATAGCGAATGTGTCCCTCAATGTAGATCATCTGGCGTGCTTTAAGCTGCACCTAACCCCAAGTACTCTGTCCTCTAACATTTCGCATTTACTGAAGTGCGGCTGACCCGGCCAGATTCGATACCAGGATCTTAGTGTGTTGTAAAAATACCTGACACAATTTTGTTGACTCAGACGCATCGATATTCCGCTCGTTTAAAAAAGCACGTTGTTTAGGGTTACAGGAAATGTCATGTATGAGAAGAAAGTTCGGCGCACCACCAGTTTCAGGTGTGCGATTTGCGAACTTACGAAACTGCCCTGAAATGGTACGAAACCTTTTGAAGTGTACTGTCGAAGATTGCCACTGGCTGCGGATGGATTTGTGACTATGCACTGTAGTAAGTGCGAGACTTGTGTTCCTGTGTATGACGCCACTTCTTTATTGCACATGGAAGGGCAACAAAGAGAAAGGGGGATTGCAGATGCTCTTGAATTTCACAGCGTGGGTGGCGCATGTATTAGCACTCCATTCATTGCATTGCCAAAAAAAAAAGGGGGGGGAGGGAAGGGAGAAGAATAATATGCAAACTTCATGTTCAGCAGGCGGTACAGATAGCCACGGTAAATTTTCGTTGACGAAATTTGTCTATGTTTATCTCTCATTCTTGTCAACTAAACATTTGTGGGTCTAATGGCTGTCCTACCTCTTTCTCTGTTGTCTTTGGGAGTTTTCTCTAGTATTCTAGAAAGCACTCAGTCAAAATATTCATCGTTTAGGAGAATTCATGATTTTGCGTGAACTGCTGTCTCCCACAATTTTTAAGCAAGAATAATTATAGATTTTTTTAGGCGTAGATGTCATAACCGTGCACAAGGGACAAGGCATGCCTCTCACCCCATGGAGTTTCCTAAAATTAACTGGAGGGGACTCTGGCACTGCAGTTGTTCAGTAACGATGGTATTGATGTGTATACAGTACACAGATTTGCCTAGTCTTCATACTTGTGGGTGGCGAATGGTGCTTGTGGCTGTTCCGGTTTCGTTTCGAAGAAAAGAGCAACCCATTTCGAACTTCATGGCTCGAATTGAAATGGTAAGCCTAAAAATTCAGTAGGTGTAGCGCAACCACTGAACATTTGCTGATTTGTGTTTTTTTTAACAGAACATCCTCAAGCTACACGAACGCACACGGAGCCAAAAGTAAGAACATTAGACAAATCTGTGTACTACCCATCATTCCCATGGTCGCTGAAGCGCTGTGCATTGCAGCTCCCATAGACCCAAACGCCAGAGTTCTCTCAGGTGGATATATAGGAAACACTATGCGTTACACTAATTACGTGAAGCTGAGTGTGAAATCCTATCTCGTGTGGTCAAGCATTCAGAGCTTCATATATATAGTTGTTTGTAATGGGCATAATGATGGTGACGCATGATTTTAGCTGGATAACGGTGACCGAGGACCTCTTACTTCACGTTAAGAAAAATATTTGTTTCTGGCCTTTACCCCAGAAAAAAAAATGTCAGGCGGCTGTGAGAAACAACTCGTCACTACATTTTCATTTTTGCATCCATTGCTGAGCTAGCTTTTTTTTCTTGGACTGGACCTTTTGGGGGAAGACAGGGGAGGGTGAAATTGCTGCTTTCCTGTGAGCGAATGTTCAAGATAAATGAAAATAATGAACAAACATATTCCGCTCGACCGAGGATCGAATCCACGTTTTCCGCGTGGAAAGCAAGTGTTCACCATAAAGCTAGGCCTGTGCTTGCAATGCGCTAAAAATGCTATGACACGCTAGTGCTTGAAAGTACTTAGTTAAAAAATCCTATCAGAATGTGATGAACTGGGACGAGGATCCTAATAGATGACAAACACAATGTTATTTCACAGTGGGTTGCGCTTCAAGCTGGTGGTTTCAGGCAGCACAAAACTTGCAGCTGCGAAGGTGCATGCGGCGCCTTACAGATGCGTCACTAGGCATTTTACAAGTTTGCTAGATAAAGAATTATGGCGTAGTGGGTATTTCTCAACTGCGCCTGCAATAGGAATTCAAGGACAGTTCGAGACAACCAGTGTTAACTTCGCTCAGAAGTGTTCCTGTCCTTGCGGCATGCTTGAAGGCGATGAGCACGGAGAGCGATTACACCATTGCATTCTACTCTTGAAGCCAACGCTCAAGCATTTTGAAAGCTTTCTTTTCTCACTTTTGGTTTCAGCCTAGCTCAGAAAGACCTTAAGACAAGAACGGTAAATATATATAATGCTATAGTGGGCATCCAGTTTTTAAAGTGAAGTTTATGAAATAGTGCATGCCGAAATATCACATCGTCCGCATGTTAGTGGCGCGTGAAATATGAGAATGCAACGCAATCTCATTTTAAAGCTTCCAACGGTGCCATTTGACATCTGTTGCATTTCTGTATTGAATGGGTGGGTAATTGGGGTGAGTTGATTGCAATACCACGGATCTATGCGACACAACTCCATGAAGCCGTAGAGCCACTGCAATCCATCTATTCTGAAAGACAGTCACCATGCTCACATGTCAAAGAGCAGGTCCCGCTTGTTATAACAGAGCCGGCAGATATAGTTTCCATAGAACCCTAGTGAATCTCAAAGCGTTCGCCGCTTGAGCGTCACGAAGGTTTCATGACAGCATAGGAACAATCAATAGACTAAGTAAAGAAGCGATCACTTGACAGGATAAGTATAAGACCTCTATGAGCTCCGATAATGGAATGCCAGTTCGAAAATATTTCTATTTCAACTGATAATAAAAAGACGTGCTTCCATTCACACATATTTCACACCTTTGCCTGCAGAGTGACTCAGTTTCGGCATGCTAATTTTATGAGGCAGACTTCTTTTCAAGTAACTGAAGTGAAAAACAAAAACAAAAAAGGGGATAAGTGCATCAATCTAGGTGAAAGCCATGACACGTCCGAACAACAAAAAAGATGTTTAGCGGCTGTGCATGGTCTACGTGCTGACATTTATACTTAGTTACTGTCTTTGCCCAGTACATTTACATACACACACGAGCATAAAGTTTAGCAGAGAAATAATCACGATCACTGAATTAGCTTTCCACTTGGCTGCGTTGTTTACCACCATGAATTCTCAGTGTAAGCAACATTGTGCACGCCAAGTATAATGACCGCAAAATTTAGGTATTTCTAAAGCGTCGGTATGCAGCCCGAACGACTAGTTCTATACATCATTATTTACGAGAACATGTTTTAGCAGTGACAAAGAATTCCTAACGTCTTATAGAACTTTACTGTAAGTTCGGTAAGGTCCCGCTGTGCCACTGTGATTACTTACCATGTGCGGCTAATCAGATTCGTGGCATCCACGTACTCTCCCCAAATGCAGGCTTCTCCACCCTGGACGAGAGCCTTCTGCTGGGGTGTCCCTGCAAGTAGGAGTTTATTCGCGCGGTTTCTCATTTACTTCATTTATATGCCTGCTTGCACTGCAGTTTCAGAACAGCCTGCGGGAATCCTACCTGTACATCAGTGTTATTTGTTAAGAAATAAGGAATATAACTTACGGTGTATAACAGATACATATTCACAGATTGACAAGAGAGGGTAGTCGCAAGGACAAGCACAAACACAAGGAGTAGTCGCAAGGACAGGCACAAACACAAACATTCAGATGCCAAGGGCTCATAAAGAAAGATGTAAAAGCAGAGCCGTGGCCTAAGCATGATTGATTGCCGTCATGAAGAGGTGTGACATGAACGGACATGAGTTTCCGGGCCTCATAATATCATGAGGCATTGCCTCATAATATCTAATACATATCCACGCCTGTTTTCTGTAGCTTCCCATGAATAAGCGTGTAGTAACGCTGCAGTGGAAATGATCGATAACCAGACAGGATAAATTTCGACGCGCTATATTCGTGTTCCCAAGCAGGCAGGTAAAAAAGCAACCTTAAGGTTTTGAGGCACGGGTGGCGGGTGAAAAGCTGTTCATCCTAAGGACAACATTTTCGAAGACCATATGTGTTCACACTACTCTTTTCGTTGGTTGTTAGCGCTAAGTTTTCTGCAATGCTGCTGTTCATTTGCAGTGGCAACGTACTTTATTATCCTACTTTGTCCTCACAAGTTATAATATTTTAATTTCCCTGATCACTGATCATAATGCGGGGAAAATATTGTGCCCATGTTTATTTGTCACATTATATACCATTGGTACGTTGTTTTCATCAACCGTCTAGTAGTACGCGTAGAAAATTCCTACATTTTTTTACTCAAAGTGGAGTTGGCCTTTCTTCGTAGTACCACTGCAGCTATTTTTTGTACTCGTGAAAGAACACCAGAGAAAAAGTAAAAAAAAGGGATAATGATGAAGTACTTTTTTTTCACTAATGCTATGAAATCATGGCCATTGTCCAGAATAAATTGATCGCTTAGTTATGAGGAAGTACTCGTTGTTGTATAACCCATTGCTCTCAGTAAAATAAATAATTAGGTGTAAATGGTGGCGTTATATTGCTTATGTTATTGGTGATGCATTTGCAAGGCCAACCATCAATATATGCTGACAGTCAGTCTCATCGATGCAGAATTATGACTGCTCTGCATCATAAAAGAGTGCATAATATTTAGGAAGTTGATGAAACAATCCTATTATGAGTGCGCTTTGCAAGTTCAAAGGTAAGCACAGTGAAATGTAGGAACAAACATAGCTGTTAACATTACAGGCACATGATGTTACGGGGAATAAGTATACACTGGTGAGCAAATTCGTACTGGCGAATATACTGGCGAGCTAATGCGTACGACGCTGCTGCAGTCCGAGCACGTTCCCGTTCAGCACTTCGTCGTCGTCATCCTCAGGCATCTACTTAGCCCGTGACATTACCCGCCGGCGGCAGAAGCACCGTCCCGGTGCGATCAATTCTCGTGGCGTGAGAAGTATGGCTTAAGCCGTGAGACGTGCACTATATCGGTCGGGACTGAAGCTGGTACTGACGTGGTATGGAGTGGAGCTATCTCATAGGTCACGCTGGTGACCTTGCGTATGACGCGGTAGGGGCCAACGTAACGGGACATTAGTTTTTCGCTCAGACCAACACGACGTGATGGTAACCACAGCAAGACGAGTGATCCCGGGGAGTACTGTACGTCGCGGTGCCGGCGATCGTAAGCACTCTTTTAGTTAAGCTGCGAGGCACATAAACGATCCCGGGCGACTTGGCGGGCGATGTCAGCTCGGGCCAGGGCATCACGAGCATAAGCAGTCGATGAGGGGGCGTCAGATTGGAGCATGGTGTCCATGGGCAAAGGCGGGTCATAACCGAACAGTAGGTAAAAAGGGGAAAATCCAGCTGTATCATGACGTAAACTATTGTATGCGAAGGTAACGAAAGGTAAACGGATGTCCCAATCTTTGTGATCCTTGGAGACGTACATCGCTAACATATTTGTCAAGGTATGGTTGAGGCGTTCCGTGAGGCCGTTGGTTTGCTGATGGTATGCTGTAATGAACTTGTGGTGGGTAGAGCAGGATCGCAGGAGCTCGTCGACTACTTTAGATAGAAAACAGCTGCCGCGATCGGTGATCAACTGACGAGGAGCACCATGACGCAGATAGATGTCATGAAGAAGGAAATCGGCTACATCAGTAGCGCAGCTGGTGGGGAGGGCGCGTGTAACGGCATACCGCGTTGCGTAGTCGGTAGCAATAGCAATCCACTTATTACCGGTGGCCGACACGGGAAAGGGTCCAAGAAGAATGAGGCCGACTCGGGAAAATGGCTCTTCTGGTACTTCAATGGGCTGGAGGGTACCAGAGGGTCTCAGGGCAGGTGTCTTGCGGCGCTGGCAGAGGTCACATGCCACAACGTACTGTCGCACAGAACGGTAGAGGCCAGGCCAAAAGAATCGGCGGCGAATGCGGTCATACGTGCGTGACACCCCTAGGTGTCCAGCGGAGGGAGCATCATGCAGCTGGGCCAAAACGTCTGAGCGAAGATGCACAGGAACAACGAGTAAAAGCTCAGCACCATCAGGGCGGGTGTTGTAGCGGTGCAAGATGTCGTTGTGAAGAACGAACAGTTGTAAGGAGTGGTCAGGTTGGGGAGAGTGCAGACCATTGATAATAGCACGCAAAGAGGGGTCGCGGCGTTGTTCAGCAGCTATGTCAGTGAAGTCGGTAATGGAAAGAACGAGGGCCTCTTGCTCATCTTCCCTCGTGTCAGGAGGATCGACTGGGTAACGGGACAAGAAGTCGGCATCCTTGTGAAGTTGTCCGGATTTGTAGGATACGGAAAAAGTGTACTCTTGTAAGCGCAGCGCCCAGCGACCAAGGCGTCCCGTAGGGTCCTTCAGTGAGGAGAGCCAGCAAAGCGCATGGTGGTCGGTAATAACTGAGAATGGTCGGCCATACAGGTACGGTCGGAATTTGGCAATGGCGCAGACGAGAGCTAAGCACTCGCGTTCTGTGATGGAATAATTTTGTTCCGAGCGCGACAACAGTCGGCTTGCATACGCGACGACGCGGTGCATGCCTTGTTGCCGCTGCGCGAGCACTGCGCCTATGCCGTCGCCACTGGCGTCAGTACGAAGCACCGTGACGGCAGATGGATCGAAGTGTGCTAGGACTGGTGGATTGGTGAGAATGTCAACGAGCGACGAGAAGGCGTTTGCTTGCTGTTGGTCCCAGGTGAATGCGACATCCGTTTTGAGGAGGCAGGTTAGAGGACGGGCTACTTCAGCAAACTTCTCGACAAAACGATGGAAATAGGAGCACAGTCCCAGAAAACGTCAGACGTCCTTGGCTGAGCGGGTTGTGGGGAAGTCGCGAACTGCTCGGACTTTCGCAGGGTCTGGTTGAACGCCCGCAGTGTTAACAAGATGGCCGAGTACGCAGATTTGGCGTTGCCCAAAGCGGCATTTGGACGAGTTATGTTGCAAGTTGGCACGTCGAAAAACATCAAGCACTGTGGACAGGCGGGTAAGATGGTCGTCAAAAGTAGTCGAAAAAACAATAACGTCGTCAAGATAGCAGAGGCAGATGGTCCACTTCATGCCTCGAAGGAGAGAGTCCATCATGCGCTCAAATGTCGCGAGGGCATTGCATAATCCAAAAGGCATCATCTTGAACTGATAAAGTCCATCAGGAGTCACGAAGGCCGTCTTCTCTCTGTCTTTGTCGTCCACAGCGATCTGCCAGTAGCCTGAGCGAAGGTCTATTGAAGAGAAATATTTGGCACCGTGCAAGCAATCGAGTGCATCATCTATGCGCGGTAGGGGATAGACATCTTTCTTGGTAATATGGTTGAGATGGCGGTAATCAACACAGAATCTCCAGCTATTGTCCTTCTTTTTAACAAGTACAACGGGTGAGGACCAGGGACTAGATGAGGGTTCGATTATGCCCTTATCGAGCATTTTATCGACTTCTCGCTGTATAATAGCACGCTCCGGGGCTGACACACGGTAGGGTCGTCGGCGAATGGTTCGAGCGTCACCGGTGTCGATGCGATGGGTTACCACAGATGTCTGGCCCAAATTACGGTCGCCGAAGTCAAAGATGTCCTGATAAGAAGCAAGCACACAGCAGAAAGCAGATACTTGTTCAGAGGTGAGCGTGTCACATAGCATTGGCTTGAAAAGGTCGGAACAGGAACGTGACGAGAACGATGTTGATGAAAAATCGGGTGACGAATCGGTTGTTAGAGCCGAAACTGTGTGGTCGACCAGTGGTGTAAGATGCGCAAGTGACATGCCGTGAGGAATAACTTGCGCTGAGAGGCCGAAATTGAGGACGGGAAACGAAGTTCGGTTGTCCTTAACGGTAACCACCGTGTTGGGGAGTGCAACGTTGCGTGTCATGGCGACGTCAGAAATTGGGGCAGCAGCATAATCACCATCGGGTACTGCAGGATATGGCGAGAGTTGGACTTGGACTGCGGCTTGCGGCGGAAGTCTAAGGAAATCGATAGAGCGTAGACGAGGTGGGCTGGTAGAGACGGTCTCCGAAAAGGATGGTAGTTCGAGCCGAAGAAGACCTTTGGAACAGTCAATGAGCGCAGCGTGTGAAGTCAGAAAGTCGAGTCCAAGGATGAGGTCATGAGGGCAATTTTCCAGTACAGCGAACAGAGCTGAAGTTTGATGCTCAGAAATTGTTAATCGCGCAGTGCACATTCCAAGCACAGCAGGAGTACTCCCATCCGCTGTACGAACGGTAGGTGCAATCGCAGGCGTCAGAACTTTTTGGAGGCAGCGGCGGAGGTCTGAGCTCATCACAGATATTTGTGCACCGGTATCAATAAGAGCAGTTATAGGTAAACCATCAACGAGAATTGTAAGGAGGTTGCACCGCTGGTCGGGAGTAATCAGAGAATTTGCAGTCCGAGTCGTGTATGCAGCGTCACCTCCGGGGGCTGCACCGGCTAATTTTCCGAGCGACGGTCGTAGGGAGACCGAGAACGGCAGGGTTGGGGCGAGCGTGACTGACGACGCACGGGCGATGGCGAGCGGTTGGTCCGACGTTCTGGATTATGCTCTGCACCTGTCTCAGCATGGTATGACGGGGCATAAGGTGCACGTTCAGAGCGAGGCCGCCAGTCATAGAAGCTCGGTCGAGGTGATGAGGTCCAACCACTGCGGCAATGGCGAGCGATGTGTCCTATCCGATGGCACGTGAAACATATGGGCCGATCATCATGAGTGCGCCATTCAGCTGGGTTTTGTCGTGGCGCGAACGTGAGGTTCGGAGTGGCAGCCGCAACGACTGGAGCCGAGCTGGAAGCAGCAGGGGCATTTTGATGAGGTGGCGAAACGCCCATATTCGCGATCTCTTGGCGAACCACGGCCTGTATCATTGAAACAGCATCGAGGTTGTGTCCTGGCGCGCTGACGCTAGACATAGCGGGAGCCATAGCCTCGAGTTCCCGACGGACTATTCTGGTGACGTTTTCTGGCGCTGGTGGTTGGTGTAGTGTGGGCAAATCTTCGCAAGAGGACGTAGCCGCTGTGTTGGGAAGGCGGTCAAATCGGTGAACTATGCGCCTACTTTTTGCCTGTTTGAAGCGACGACATGCTTCGATGACCGACTCCACCGTCGAGCAGTCCTTGCACAGGAGAAAATTGAAGGCGTCATCCGCAATTCCTTTCAGGATGTGTCCGACTTTGTCCTCGTCGAGCATGTCCTTGTCGACCTTGCGGCACAAAGCCAATACGTCCTGGATGTACGCGATGTACGGCTCTGTGGATGTCTGGGCACGAGTCGCAAGCTCTTTCTTTGCGGCCACTTGACGTCCGGTGGGTTTCCCAAATAGATAGCGCAATTTCTGCTTACAGACGTCCCAGCTAGTCAACTCTTCTTGATGTGTCTCGTACCAGATTTTGCCGTGCCATGCAAGTAGAAGATGATGTTCGCCAACATAAGCGTCGGACCCCAATAGTTGCTGCTGCTGACGCGCTCATATTGAACCAGCCAGTCATCGACGTCTATGCCACTTGTGCCGTTGAATGGACCTGGGTCACGAGGTCGGACCACAACGATCGGCTGCGGGACTGACGGATCTTGTTAACATTGAGTAGCCTGGTCAGTCATCGTGGTAGCTGCAATGCGCCGTCCGCTGCGAAGATCCAGCTCGTTGGGCTGTATAGCGAGTGGTACCCCGCACCTTCCACCAATGATGTTATGGGGAATAAGTATACACTGGTGAGCAAATTCGTACTGGCGAATATACATGCGAGCTAATGCGTACGACGCTGCTGCAGTCCGAGCACGTTCCCGTTCAGCACTTCGTCGTCGTCATCCTCAGGCATCTACTTAGCCCGTGACAATATTTGCTCATAAGGACTCTGACTTGCCTGTGAAGTCATGTGGATCGCAGCCGTAGTACCTCTTCCAGTCCTTGGTGTAGCTAATGTAGTCCAAGTACCAGCAACTGGACAACAGGGCATTGTACCCGGCTCTCGTCACGGCACTCAATTCCTCTTCCTGAGGATGCAGCCATATATGCACCACAGTGTCCGGGGCAATCTGCATGAAGATGCACTGCGCTGTCAGCCATATTTCGCATCTTACGAAATGAGCTGTGAACAAACTAGCCTCACAATTGTAATCAGCATTATTCAGCAACAAAGGCTAATTGGTATAAAAAATTATTAATAATAAAATGCCGTCTTTCAAGACAGTAAAATTCTCCATCAGCAATAAGCTTCCTAAAGCGATGGCCTGATTCTGCGATATCATGAACTCCAAGCGCTTTCTTCTTTGCGGTTTAAATTTACGGGCGTACTTGTTTGTACTCATACATAGGAAGACTCAAACTCCCAGCTTGTATATAGTACTGAGCCTAGAGAAATAGTCTTGAAGCAGAACAGATGCCATTGATCAGCAAAGTGTGGTGGTTTCATGTTTTCAGCCTTACTTGAACCAACGCTCGGTACGAATAGTCTATAAAAAAACGAGGATGGTCAAGCTTTGCGCTTGGCACAAAGTAGTCTCGAGTGAAATTTTTTTCACTAGACGGTGGAAATCTATAATATGAATGTTTCAAGCACAGTGTGCCAACCGATTGAGAAAAATGCTTGAGGCAACATGTAGGTTATTTTATAGTTAAACTGGGATTCTTGTCTGCTGACGTGTACTGAAGTGGTTACAATGCTCTGCTGCTGATTCTAATGTCACGGGTTGTATTTTGGTGGAAGCTAGCTGCTAGAAAATCGTGTATTGTGCAATGTCAGCACACATCAAAGAGCACCACAAGGTCGCGATTTCCGGAGCCTTCCTCTACAGCATGCGTCATCATCATATCACAGTCTCCTGATGTAAAACCTCAAATATTATTACACAAAACTATGTGTCTTAATACCAAGAAACAACCAAAGCCGTTTGTGTGCTTGCGCAGTAAAATTGAAAGCAATGGTTTCTTATTCCATGAATTACTTGATTGTGTCGTCTTATGGTCATGTAGTGGGCTATCAGTGTGGAAGGTGTTTCTAAATAGTCCTTACGGGTAGGTAGGAGATCGTGTTGTCGGCAAACTTGACAGAATCATGAGATTTTCTGTTAATATTTTTAACGGTCCTAAACAATGTGAACCTTTATTTCAAGTCGCAAGATATTCATGTGTTTGAAGTAAGTCTGAGCTGTTCCTTATGCGAATCTGTTAAAAGATGGTACAACAGCACCATCTTTTTGTTTTAGATGTGATAGTAGACATTATATTTTGCTAAGTTCATCTGGGAGTCTTTTCGAATTTTGTAGCGGGTACCACCATCGCACTTTGCCTAGCAGCATAACATTTATTACTTTTACACTTTATTGCAAGTTTCATTATCCACTGCACTACCATTGAAATATAAAATCCTTAAGCTGTAATCACATGACGGACATGATCACGGACGGATCAGTCAGGTGCCCTGTGACGTGTTTTGGATGCCTTCGCACGCAGCGATTACACAACGGGGGAGAATTGATGCCACAAGGGAGGATTTCGGCATTGATCCCCGAGGATCCCAACTGTACTGTGGACTTCCATCGTTTCATGAAACGCTCCACGCGGACCAAGCAAGGACACAGGAATGGGTGACGTATGATGACGTAATACGCGATCCCCGGGGTTGAATTGCGATATATTCCGTCATTGGAATACATCTTTGGGGGTATCACAGTCATTCTGTAGACTCTGTTGCAGGAAACCACCGTCGCCATCTCTAACTTCATTGTTCCGCTGTCACAGTTTAACACTGCTTGCACCAGCCCAGCTTGGAAGTACTTGATCTTAGCGTCACAAAACAATATAGCATTTCTGACATGTGTGTCATGCATAGTGACACAAGAACAGCTTGGAAGGAGTGCTAACAGTAATAAGAAAAACGGCTTTGGTTCATAGTGAGTCTACAAAGTTCACATAGAACATATACTATAGACTATAAGAATCATATTAAGAAATGTGTAATGAAATAACGTGAAAGAATGTTGCGCTTTCTATGAAGTAGGAACCTTTTTTTACCCCACCGCTAATAATTAGTACAAATACAATGTTGCGCCATAAAAATTATGTCAGATGCTGCCGCTTACCTCAATGCCATTGTCGAATACTTCTTGCCAGACCATATAGCTTTTCCGTGCACCTTGCACGATCTTCAGCAACCTGCATATGCGATCACACGTAGAACTCTGACAAAAATGGCCGCTTTTGAGGACCAGACACACACCTACAAGTAAACAACTCTGTCAGCACTTCCAGAACTCATGCCAGTCTTATAATTTTTTGCACACTAATACTATTATTGTTTACTTGACATCAAAGCATGAAAATGGAGAGTATTAACCTAGCCGTGTAAAGCTTTGTAAGTAGTTGTGAAAAAAAGAAGAAGATAAAAGTGAGCCCCGTAACTGTCTACATCATATTGCGACGCCTCAACAGGGGCTCTCGAGGGATGGGGGTAAGGAGAGATTAACAGGGATAGGGGGATTAAAGGGATAGAGATAGAGATAACGCAGGGACAGAGAGACCCACATACCGAAATAAGAAGATAGGAAAGATGGAGACGATAGCAAGAGTCTGAGGATGGGGCACCACTCAGCGAGAGCTGTTGTCAGCGTCAGGAGATAGCGTATATAAAGCGAGCCAGTCGGCCAGAGCTGCGCTGTCGTCGGAGATCACGGGGGCACAACCAGTCGGCACGAAATCCAGCGAGCGAGTTGTGTAAAGCTGAAGGTGGAATGAAACCGGTTGACCTTAAGAGTTTAACGTGACCTTTTTGGCTGTTCTATCCTCGACGCAGACAAAGTGAAGTCTTGCCTTTAGATAACCCATACATCAGAAGAGCCCACCGCGTTTCCCGCAACAGTCACTGTAACGCAGTATATCCACCACAAGCCCATACTGTGACCTTTCATCAATCGTTTTTCCTGCGCACAGCCCAAGACTGGAATGACCTGCCCACCGAAGTCGCCACCATCATCGACACCCAAGCATTTAAATGGCTCATCGAAACTATCCCATCATAACTACCATTATATTGTTAGCCTTTGTAATACCCACTCCCTCATGTAATATCCCAACCGGGACCTTTGAGGTAATAAAATGAATGAATGAATGAATGAACCAGAGCCGGTCACATACAACGCAAGAATGTCCAATGTTTTGTGCCGGAACTAACGTGCAAAGCTGGTTTGCGCCCCCTGTTCAAGCGCGGGCCTTTCAACACTCGTCTTCGGTTCATGCGGTGGGCTAACTTGGCGCGGTGGTTGTGCAGACTGCATCCGTCGCTGGGCGCAGCTGATGAGCAGTGGCGCGGAGAGTTTTCTTTCATGCACACCCGACGTTTTACCTCGAGGTTTGTTCTTCAAGAATTGTGAATGCGGGAGGGAACCAAAGTGACAATCAGCTTGACAAAGTTCACTCTGCCATACAGGTAGCAGTAGCGAAGCACATGATCTACACTTCGATGCATAGGTAGGTGAACTCAAATATGAGTCGACTTACGCATACTCATATGGAGCCGTGAGTCTTCAGTGAGTCTAAGTGAGTAATAATTTCGTTAGTGTGAGTCCGAGTGAGTCCGGTTGAAGAAAGTTTTTGTGAGTGTGAGCCAGAGTGAGTCCAAAGAGCGTGATATATTTGTTGACTGAATCTGTGTGTTTTTCACTTTCTTTTGCCGACTTATGGTCATATCTACTCATCTTCAGCACTACTATCAGCCTTACCTGAACATTCACGTTTATACTCGCCTATTACTGCAGGCATATCAAATCAGTGTCTCTTTAACACCATTTCGAGGCTTATTTATCAGAGGCGTTATTTACGGTGGTACAGCCATGACAACCCCCATCCGCCGCCAACTTTTCCTATAGGCAGTTCTTTATAAATTTATCATATGTTATCGTTTTCAAGAAAACCTGACCTTACTGGTTTACGAGCATTCAAAACTCATTTTTGAAGGTAGTATATGAAAAGGCACAAGAGTACCTATTACATGAGATATTGATGCTATAGAGCATTGACATCATGGTTGAAGAACATACTTTTAGGCTAACGGGCTCATGAGTCGACTCACTCGGACTCACTCAGGCCCGTATTCACAAGCCAACCTTGGCATTTCCTCACAGTTTCCTCAAGTTTGTGTACTCTCTACGTGCGTTATAAGGGCACAGAAATTGTAACAGTGAATAACATAAGAACGAGATTGGTTCATGTATGGTAGCCTACTTTGTTCAGCAAGTGCAATAACGGCTTAAAACCGATGAGGACAACTCGAGGTAAGGTTGACATTGGTTTGTGAATACGGGCCTCAGACTCAGGCTCGCGTCTCGGTCTTATTGAGTTTGAGTCCGAGTGAGTTCATGTGCGAGAAATATTCCGTGTGTGAGCTCCACAAGGTTTGCCGGACTATGGTTTGATGCATATATACTATAAGGACGTTGTGCATTCATATGAACGCGTAAAAAAGTAAACATTACCGTTTGCTCATACCAAGAGCAATAGTATTTATTTAAACATATATCAATATACGTATGCCAGTACACACGTAAACATGCAGGTAGTTACATTATGTGTAATCATAATTGCGGAGATGTCAGTTTAGCCATAACAATAAGAAGAATAGAAGGAAATATCCACTAAAGCAGAAAGATTTAAGTTAGCGAGGGTCATTACTGATAATTTCACGTGAGAATTTGCAATATTCGCATGTTATCTATTTCCGTGAAACTAATATGCACTGTGATTAGCTGATTTATATGAGAAGTATTTGGTAATTGACCATAAATCATTTATTGGTCGTGTGGGTCGCTGTTAAAATCCAGCGTGTTCTGTGACGGTGTCGGCAATAGTATTCAAATAACTTTAAAGAGCCAAAACTGCATAGGCTGTCATGACTTTTTAAACTCCATTTTGCGCCTACGTAGTAGCCTGAAGGGGTGTAAGCTAGATATGTTATGAATGTGAAATTGAACGGAAAAATTCCTCTTGTACGTCCGGGAAGTGTTCTATAAATAGCCCTTAGGAGCCACTTTTATCCGATTGATATATCTTCTGATTTATTTAGTAATGATGACCCATACACATAGAAAAAAGAGCTATACAGCATTTGTTTTACATCTAAGGTGAATGTTGTTGTATGATGCATGAGGAGACCAACAACGTCAGATATTTGAAGCAGATAAGGTTAATGTGGTCGTTCCACTGCGTATTTTCTGCAAATAACCTTGGTGTTTTAAAAGATGACAGTCTTTTAGAGGAACTTGGACGATATAAAAGATTTGCACACTCTTAAGTATGTTGCCTGATGTTACTTATGGCTACACTATAGGGCAGTCTATCTATGATACAACACAACGTTTAAGCATCCCTCACATTTATGCTCCTACAGAAGTTATTTTCAAACATGCAGTAAAATTCAAGTATTCACTACGAAAAAAGCCGTGAAACGATGCATTTTATTCATCTTGCACACTTCACGCCTCTCTACAGTTGAAGCCTCAGCGCTGACGTTACCTTAATGCAAATACAAGTATGCGAACATGGTCCTAAAGAGCAACAAACCCTTTTCTGGCTTTATTTATTTCCAATGTAAACTTGGTTACACAATGTAAATGGCCAAGATAAAAATTGCTAAAAGCATCCTAAAAGAATCTTTGCCCCGGGTTTTCTAAAGCGGCAAAAAATGCCGCACATGGCACAGATTTCTCTTGTAAATTTCCACTTATGCATTAATCATCCCAAGTAAAAAATAACTTCACATTTTCACGTTTTAATAAAGCGTGACGACTGAGCAAAGGCGCCACTGAGCAAAGAATGGGGATAGGCGAAATGTTCTGTAAAGTCGGCATTGAACAACTTACACAATGGAGTCTGCAATAAATTTTGAGATTGGAAAATCTGTTTTCGGTTTTTTAATTCAGACGAGTGTGCAAACAACCACATGAGGAAAAAACAAGATGGGATATATGGTTGTTGCTTATCACACGTTTAACTAATGTCGCGGGCAGGCTGTTGTCTCGTCTATGGTGGAACTATTTAGATGGACCAAATGCGCCTCAGAAAAGGAAGAACTTCAATCCTAGTTTTGTAGAGAGGGACTGACATGGCGCCACAGCACCTGTGGTCTATGCGAGCAATCATGCTTGCTGTGAATTGTTTATCAGAACGCCATCTATCCTCCCTAATCATCAACTATACGAAAGCTACTAAATCTATCTAACGATATTATTTTCACGGTCACATACACACAACGTCATCTTGCCCCACCGCGGTGGTCTAGTGGCTAAGGTACTCGGCTGCTGACCCGCAAGTCGCGGGTTTGAATCCCGGCTGCGTCCACAGCATTTCCGATGGAGGTGGAACTGTTGTAGGTCCGTGTGCTCAAATTTGGGTGCACGTAAAGAACTTCAGGTGGTCGAAATTTTCGGAGCCTTCCACTAAAAAGTCTCTCCTAATCATATGGTCGTTTTGGGATGTTAAGCCCCCCATGGATGAATGGATGGATATGGCTGTACCCTTTAGATCGGGCGGTGGCTAGCGCCACCAAGCCGTAATACCTAATGAACCAAAAACTATATTTATTTTTTTTCCTTAAAAAGTGAGTTTGAGGATTCGTACTTAGCAGTGAAGAGTTTAATTTTCACTCGTGCCTTGACTTTAGCCACCAATCAGATAACATCCTTCTAGTTAAGTCTACCCGCTTAAAGTTTATTTTGCCCTCCCGGTCCCTAAACCCCAGTGCTATGAAAAATTCTGCGCCATCATCCTGAACTATAGGGTGAAGCCCTTTACAGAACATTATCAAGTGTTAGGCAGTTTCTTCTTCCTCTCCACACGCTCTGCATACTGTCTCTACCCCTTCGTATTTGGCCCGATATGTCTTGGTTCGCAGTACTCCCATCCTGGCCTCAAACAGTAGAGAACTACCCCTAGTATTGTCATAGATCCTTTTCTTGGGAATTTCCTGCTTTAAGGTTCGATAGATCTCTAGTGCGGACTTCTTAATCATGCCCATTCTCCACATGTCAGTCTCCGTTTCCTTCACTTTCTTCTTAACCGATAGTTCTTTTTGGTTTGGCCACCTGCTGTTTTCTAAGTATTTACCAGTCCACTTCCTGGTTCTCTTCCTCCATTTTGTATCGACATTCTTCATGTACAAGTAGCTGAAAACCTTCCTAGCCCAACGCTCTTCCCCCATTTCTCTCAATCGCTTCTCAAATTTTATCTTGCGGCTAGCTTCCCTGACCTCAAATGATGTACATCCCATATCACCTTGCACTCCCTGATTTGGTGTATTCCCGTGAGCTCCTAAAGCAAGCCTACCTATTCCACGTTGCTTCATTTCTAATCTTGCTTGAACTTCTGATCTCATGCACAAGACCGCATTGCCGAACGTCAGCCCAGAAACCATGATCCCTTTCCATATTCCTCTCACAACATCATACCTATTGTAATTCCACAGTGCCCTATTTTTCATGACTGCTGCATTCCTGTTACCTTTAGTCGTCACGTATATTTCGTGTTCCCTCAGATACTCGGTCCCATTGCTTATCCATACGCCCAGATATTTGTATTTATCTGTTATCTCTAGCGTGACCCCCTGTATTCTAAACTCCCTACCTTCGTTGTCATTGAAACTCATGACTGCTGATTTTTCCTTACTGAATCTAAAATCTAACCTATCTCCCTCATTTCCGCAGATGTCCATCAATTTCTGCAAATCTTCCTTGTTATTGGCCATTAGCACTATATCATCTGCGTACATTAATGCTGGTAGTGCCTGATCAATAAGTTTTCCTTGTTTGACTAAAGAGAGGTTGAAGCCCAGTCCACTTCCCTCTAATTTTGCCTCTAATCTTTGTAGGTACATCATGAATAATAAGGGTGACAGGGGGCACCCCTGCCTAAGCCCCCGTTTTACCTCTGCAGGCTTGGATACCTCTTTTTCCCACTTTATAACTACCTTGTTACCTTTATAGATACCCTTTAAAAGATTAGTGACTACATGTTCCACGCCTAGTGTGTCCAGTATTCCCCACAATTCTTCTTGAACCACGCTATCGTACGCTCCCTTGATATCCAAAAATGCTAGCCACAGGGACCTGTGTTCCTTTTCTGCTATTTCGATTCACTGCGTCAGTGAGAACAGATTGTCTTCCAACTTCCTGTGTTTCCGAAACCCATTCTGCAGTTCCCCCAGCACCCCCTCATCCTCTATCCACGCCAGCAGTCGTTCCTTTATAATCTGCATCGCCAGCCTGTAGACCACTGATGTCACTGTTATAGGACGTTAGTTGTTTATGTAAGCTTTGTCCCTCTTTCCTTTATAGATCATGCTCATCCTGATAAGTTTCCATCCATCGGGAACTTCACCATCGATTATTATTGTGCTCACAGCCTCTCTCAAAGCCTGCTATGACTTCGGACCTAATGTCTTTATCAGCCTAATTGGAATGCCATCTGGGCCTGTTGATGTACTATTAGGAACCCTTTTCTCAGCCCTTTCCCACTCTTGTTGTGAAAATGGAGCCATTGTACCACTTGATTCGTCCTTGTCTATTGTGGTGCATAAAGTACTTCTTTGTTGAAATTTTTCTGTCACCCGTGTTCTTATATATTCAATAGCTTCGTCCCCTTCTAGCCTAGCACCTTGGGCTGTAGTTATAAAACTCTGTTTTAGGCTCGTCTCATTTCAATCAACACAACGATATCTAGGGAGCAATTCATAAACTAAAAGTGACTACGTACTACATATAAACGGAGGAGAGAACGACCCACACCCTAAGAAGCTTCGCCCCTAAAACGTGAAATGACACGGCATGAAGTAAAATAATTATGAATACGTCGTTGGTGTGTGCTGGATCTTTTTATAGACAACTCCCGTGGTATTTAAAGTGATATCGTTTATGATCCTTACGTGAAAAACACGGATGCAATAGTGATACTACATTCTTCAGCGGTGGAACATACCCAGTTTGGCTTCATAGCCTTTACTTTATTGTCAAGCTAAGTTGTCCGCGAGTATAGTAACCCATGCATTGTACGGTGTCAGTGTGCGCTAAAGAACACCTCATTGCAGAAATTTCTGGCGCCCTCCAGCAGCGTACCTCGTAATGATATCGTGATTTCAGCTGACAAAACCCCTGGTATTCTCACAAAAAATTGGCCCCGCATCTGCATGTTAATCTGCAAATGTCGTCGAAAGACGATAGTATTGAGTGTGGAGAGAGTGAAGAAAACATTTATTTGATGTTCTGCGCAAGAAAATCGGTGAATGGTACTCTGGAGGCGCTGCGTTAGAGTGCCTCGAGCGTGCAGCGGAGGCGAACGAGCACACCAAGTCACGTCACACGTGAGACATGAGCGCTATCTGGCAGTTATCTTGGATAACGAAGCATGTGGCCCTGAAACGGGCGTGCGCGCCCGTCTCAGGGGGACGTACTTCGGGGCCGCGTGCTTGCACAAGTATGAACGCTAAACCTTGAGCAACATTGGTGGCCGCTGCGAATGGGGTCGTGCCGTTTCAAGTACTCGGTGCCGTTAAGAGTAGACAAACAAACAAATGTACATACAGACCAAAATTTTTGTGTCAAAGGTCCCCAACAAAGACCATCATGTTTCAAAAAAGTAGTTCTCTCACGGGGAGAGCACGGCACACAAAAGCAGGATTGTTTCAAAAAAATTTAAGAACTCACGGCGAGAATGAAGTCAAAGAGGTCACACTTTATTACAGGGCTGTACAGCTGTATTTCATTGCAGCGACATAGAAACAACACACCGGCACAGAAACCAATTGTGCTCACACACCTGACGAGCGCTTCAATATAGCACGTTTTTGTTTACTATTTTCCGCTTGTTGATGACTTTGAGCAGCCGAGCATTGAAGTCATTCAAAGGTTGGCGGAATGAACAAGGAGCATTAATTATGCACTTGCATAAATGCACATTTCCCCGCATAGCAACCCCCTTAGAGGCAATGTTAAACAAGAAATGTACTCTTGTTACTGGTTGCGCAGTGCAAAATAATAAAGGCGATTCCTTCAACTACGAATCACAATTTTGTAACATTTCTAATTTTACATAAATGTCATCTTCTTTCGGGCCCCTTCACGAATTTCAGGCCGCTTTTGGGGTGGGGCTTTCTTTGTGATGATTATTCGCTTGTTCGCTCGGTCGAGTGACTCTCGTAGGTTAACTACAGCCAACTAAAATTGTTTCAGCCAATAATATATACAGGAACTTATTTTAATTTAATTACAATTGTGAAATTTTTGTATTAGGTTGATAACATCCGAGATTTTTTTTTAGTTCACAATGATTTCCCGGACGTAATCCGCACTGGAAAAGGTTTGTCACTCCGTGAAAGACGCAATGCAGAGACCCCTGCGCCCACATAAAGGCACTGACGCTTGCAACGATCCAATAAAAATGAAACTTGCAACAGTTCTCCTAGATGACGGCACTTTTAATTGTGACACTGATACCGTGCAGGTAGGAAGAAGAAGAAAAAAAACAGCACACACTTCTCCCCTCTCCTGGTTCCAGGATGGTGAAGCCGAAACACTTTTCTCTACATACTTCTCTCCTCTTCAGTGTTTCGGTCACAGAGAAGAAAATAGCTTTTTTTTTGCCTTATAAATACAAAATCACCTGTTGAGGTTTGTCTTTTCTAGATTTTATTGCTAGATTGCATTCAGTAGAGCGGTGTGTGAGATTGAAAATTGAAACCATTTCTAAGCATCATGGATGCTTAAGCAGAGCGTCAAAACGATCATGGCAGGTTTAAGAAGTAAATAATGAAGACTGGGCAAACAGTGGAATCGTTCGGTGTACCGCAAATCAACCGTGTCATTCACCCTCACTCGTGCAAACGAGTGGCGAAGTGGTGTACGGTTACAAACATTGTTTTCATTGACCATAATTTGTACGTTTTATTGAGTTGTGAATTTCATTTTGCTTTGCCGATTACTGCTTGTGGTATTTGATCTATACTGAAGGTGGCAAAAACGGACAACCGGGCACGTTTTCCTGGTTGTTTTTGGTTGTTTAGAGTCGTACTAAGTGCATATAGCATATCAAGACGTCATGTATTGCACAGGTCAATCTTTGTCTATGATAATCATTGTTATCATCCGCATTGTCATCAGCGTCATCGTCATGGTCATGGCGTATAGTAAGACCTTGCATGTGCTGTAGCGTGGTGGCACAAAGGTAATGTGTGATCTGGAACGTGCTTGTTCTTCATCGTCATCAACGTCGATGTCATCGTCATCGACGACTATGGTGGTACAGAGGACAGGCCTCGTTCATAAGCTCTAAAGCGCTAATTGAACGGGTGCTCACCTTCGTATGTAATATTCTTCTAGCTTGTCGTAGTCACCGGTTATACCAATATTTTCCATGAAATCCGAGATGTTGGGGTTAGATTTCCTGTAAAAGCAATTATACCATGTGCCATGCGTATATACGGAACAGACAATACTCGATATGTTCTCAATAAGCAGTAGTACCATATGATAGCTTCAATAAAATAAATAAAGGCAGCTGAGTATTTCACTTCACAAGACTCCTGCTTGCATAGATTGCATTTTTATATTACGTCAAATTAGTTCATCGACTACCGAAAAGTAAACTCTTTGAGCCTAACCGAGATTTTGCGGTCACACCATTCTCTTAACTCGTTCAATGGCCTTCGCAGAAATACTCCATCGCTACCATCAATACCAAGTTAAAACTAACCGTTCTTAACATATTACTGGGCTACAGCTAAGTACTATTTGTGCGCGTGCAGCAGAAATCCTAAGACATCGGGAAAGCTTAGACGCACCAGGATATTATTTAACAATAATGAGTTTCTAAAAATCGACATTATTCAGAATTATTCATTTAATTTTTCAGTTAGGCCTGTCAGTTCATACCAAAAGAGTGAAAAATCTTTGACACGAGGCTTACGTTCAGTTGCGCCCCTCATTGGCAGTCGGCTTCCTGACGGTTCGCAAATTGTTGGACATTTGTTTTAACATATGTAGTGTATGCACGAAACAATACTACAACAAGTGACATCTTCAATGACCAAATAGTACTAATTTTGCAAAGTAATCAGCAAGTTTTGTCTAAATATATGGGCAGTTTTGCGAAATATATACAACCAGTTACTGGCAATTGAATAATCTAATCATTTTTGTCATGGTTTAAAAGGTACTACTACGAAATCACTAACATCGGTGCTATGTTTGTTTAGTTATTAAGATTTTCATGCGCAAAGTGAACGGTATAATGTAATGTTCCAAAGCTTACTGATTTCGATGCTCTCTTGACATTACTACTTTTAGGTTGCCATTCATATATGTAAATGGTTATTGTAACGGTTGAAAACCTCAAACTTGAAATACTAAGTATGACTCTTGCGCTATGTTTGTTTAGTTATTGACATAGCGTTACGAAAAGTAAATGCTGTAATGTGTTGTTTCGATGCTCACAAACTTTGATGCTTTCTTGGCATTACAATTATTACACTTTGTTTGCAAACTACTGCACGTTAACATTGTCGCAAACATGGTGATATGAACATATATCGACCCGTGTCCACAATCGCTTCTCTGAATACAATGGCGTTCGTTGTCCGAAATCATCATCATCATCATCAGCAGCAGCCTGACTACATCCACTGCAAGACAAAGGCCTCTGCCATGTTCCGCCAGTTCACCCTGTGCTGTGCTTACTGCTGCCAATTCATACCCGCAAACATCTTAATCTCATCTGCCCACCTAACCTAAGTAAGGCAGGGGGACACAATCTCCCCAATGCTATTTACCGCGTGCTTACAAGAAGTTTTCAGAAGCCTAGAATGGAAACAATTAGGGATAAGAGATAATGTAGAGTACCTTAGTAACCTGCACTTCGCCGATGACATTGCATTGCTGAGTAACTCAGGGGACGAATTGCAACTCATGATTATGGAGTTAGACAAGGACAGCAGAAACGTGGGTCTTAATATTAATCTGCAGAAAACGAAAGTTATGTACAACAACCTCGAAAAATAGCAGCACTTCGAGATAGGTAATAGTGCACTTCAAGTTATAAAAGACTATGTCTACTTAGGGCAGGTTAACCACGGAGTCAAACCACGAGATTGAAGTAACTAGAAGAATAAGACTGGGGTGGAGCACATTTGGCAAGCACTCACAAATTATGACAGGTAGATTGCCACTATCCCTCAAGAGGAACGTATATAACAGCTGTATGTTGCCGGTACTTAGCTACTGAGCAGAAACCTGGAGACTTACAAAGAGGGTTCAGCTTAAATTGAGGACGACGCAGCGAGCAATGGAAAGAAAAATGGTAGGTGTAACCTTAAGAGACAAGAAGAGAGCAGAGTGGATTAGGGAACAAACGGGGGTTAAGGATATCATAACTGAAGTCAAGAAGAGGAAATGGACAAGGGCCGGGCATGTAGCGCGTAGACAGGATAACCACTGGTCATTAAGGGTAACTGACTAGATTCCCAGAGAAGGCAAGCGGGTTAGGGGAAGACAGAAGGTTAATTGTCCGAAATACCTTATTTCAATCTCTCGAACGGTTGTGAAGCCACACCGACCGTATTTTACAGCAGGAATCCTTTTAGACTTCCGTGCCGCATTTACTGCCACATTTTCATCTTTGATATTAGCATCAGTGCTCCAAGTGTGTATTTTTGTTTATACAAAAGTGTTTACTACGTCGTTTATACAGAAACGCTGCAGCTCTCGTACAGTGTCACGGTAATGTAAATATGTTTTGTGGGAATGAATCGTCATTTTTTATTGTTGTCTGCACTATATCAACTACACTGGAGACGTGAACGAAGTCCAGTGGTAACGTACGCACCTGTTGAGACAATTGTTTTGTGTTATCCACTCTGTTTAGGAATGTAATGACCCAAGTTGCCGTCTCTTAGGGCGGCCACCCTATTACAATTCAAACGAGTGTTATATGTACTGCTTCAGGATGCTATGCAGTGCCTCAAGCAACGGTGCATCAATGTGCTATATCGTTTGCACAGAAATGTTGCGCCAAAACATTCACGGGCTTTTCACTAGCGTGTGACGCCCATATATGCTAGCTTAAAGCATGTCTTTTCATGTGTGATTTCCACTTCACATCCGAATCAAACATGGCCGCTAAGCACTAAAACTAGACTATTCTATATGCCCATTCCTACTATATATTTTATTTAATTCATATTCACGTTATTTTTGTACAATCTTTTTTTTTCAGAAAGGCCCACTTCAAATAGGTTCCAGATAGCCAGACCTGTCACCGCAATAAATGCAGCGTTACACATGCCACCCTTTTTTCTGTATCAATTTTTCCCACTAAGCTTTGCAGTGAGGATTACGAGAAATCTATGAGGTAGCTAGGAAAATATAATGAAAATTAGGCTAATATATGCGTACTAATAATTTACTTGATGGTTGAAAAAACAAGATAAGGGGAAGCCGAGTGACGCCATCCTAGTGGTAGAATAATTACAAGTCCCAAACCTTCTACAAAAAACAGATATTGCTTTTCGTTCGACGAATCTGCACATACCAGCAGTCAAAGTCCACTTCATCTCCCCCCAGGTGGATGTACTGTTCGGGAAACACGTCTGCCACCTCGGCGAATAGCTCCTTTAGGAAAGCGTACGTCACGTTCGTGGAAGGGTCTATCGGTCCAAGTCCAATTGGTTCCATCTTCTTGTAGCACGTCGTCAGGATCTCAGGAAATGCCGCACCCCACGACCGGGTGTGTCCTGTATCGAGATGCAAGTCTTGATAAATCTGTGCGAATTCACAAGTAGCCAATTCTTGATAATTAAATACGCTATAAGTTATCAGCTTGTCTTTAGTGGCACCTATTCAGGCATTCTTGTTGCTTAGTCATGTGATGTTCCACAAAAAAAACACTACGATAGCCTCATCTGATATGTGGTCTGTGTGTACCGCTGGATAATATATGTTAACCGGCACTAAACAGGCCCATTTTTATCACTTCAATTTAGACGCGCACCATGAACCAACTCATGGGGGGGGGCGACAAAAAGCGTGCGGAGTATAGGAGGCACATCCATCAACAGCTCAGCGAAATGTGGTAGTCGTGCACGGCTAAGAGAGTGTAGAATATTATCACGAAGTTGATAGTTTCCCTGGCGCATTTTTTTTAGTACAAAAGTCTGGGTCCCTATTTAAACCTCACGGCGCCTGCTATTTGATCTCAATAGCCTACTATTGGCCAGAAGTCGACATGAATCAAGAGTGCCGTTCGGATTTATTGCCAATTTTCCCCAACGTGCCGCCGATCTGCAAACATTACGCATAGTTAGGAAAAGCGCGTCAAAACAAAACGCATATATAAAGGGAACAGAACGACGCGCTTTGTCTCCCCTTGATGTCAGCTTCGCATTTTGTGTTGTTCATTCACGCTTTACCTGTGAGTACACAACTACACGCACAACCATCCCTGATGGATAACATTACCCCGTGAACATCGCTCACGCGCAGGAACCTCTATGAACTATAGTTATCACCTACAGTGCATATGCTGCAACAAACATCATCATCTTCATCATCATTATCATCATCATCATCGTCATCATCATCATCATCATCATCAGTCTGACTACGTCCACTGCAGGACAAAGGCCTCTCCCATGTTCCGCCAGTTAACCCGGTCCTGTGCTTGCTGCTGCCAATTTATACCCGCGAAATTCTTAATCTCATCTGGTCACCTAACCTTTTGTCTCCCCCTAACCCGCTTGCCTTCTCTTGGAATCCAGTTAGTTACCCTTAACGACCAGCGGTTATCCTGTCTACGCGTTACATGCCCGGCCCATGTCCATTTCTTCTTCTTGATTTCAGCTATGATATCCTTAACCCCTGTTTGTTCCCTAATCCACTCTGCTTACTTCTTGTCTCTTAAGTTTACACCTACCATTTTTTTCCATTGCTCGCTGCGTCGTCCTCAAATTAAGCTGAACCCTCTTTGTAAGTCTCCAGGTTTCTGCTCCGTAGCTAAGTACCGGCAAGATACAGCTGTTATATACCTTTCTCTTGAGGGATAGTGGCAATCTACCTGTCATAATTTGAGAGTGCTTGCCAAATGTGCTCCACCCCATTCTTATTCTTCTATTTACTTCAATCTCATGGTTCGGCTCCACGGTTATTACCTGCCCTAAGTAGACATAGTCTTTTACAACTTGAAGTGCACTATTACCTATTTCGAAGCGCTGCTCCTTTCCAAGGTTGTTGTACATTACTTTCGTTTTCTGCAGATTCATTTTGAGACCCACCTTTCTGCTCTCCTTGTCTAACTCCGTAAGTGAGTTGCAATTAGTCCCCTGAGTTACTCAGCAATGCAATGTCATCGGCGAAGCGCAGGTTACTAAGGTACTCTCCATTAACTCTTATCCCTAACTGTTCCCATTCTAGGCTTCTGAAAACTTCCTGTAAGCACGCGGTAAATAGCATAGGGGAGATTGTGTCCCCCTGCCTTACATCCTTCTTGATTGGTATTCTGTTGCTTTCTATATGAAGCACTATGGTAGCAGTTGATCCCCTGTAGATTTCTTCCAGGATGTTTATATATACTTCATCGACACCCTGATTCCGCAGTGTCTGTATGACGGCTGATATTTCTACTGAATCAAACGCCTTCTCGTAATCTATGAAGGCTATGTATAGTGGTTGGTTATATTCTGAGCATTTCTCTATTACCTGATTGATAGTATGAATGTGGTCGATTGTTGAGTAGCCTGTTCGAAATCCTGCTTGTTCCTTTAGTTGATTGAATTCTAATGTTTTCTTTACTCTGTTAGCAATTACCTTTGTAAATAGCTTGTATACTACAGAGAGCAAGCTAATCGGCCTGTAATTCTTCAAGTCCTTGTCATCTCCTTTCTTATGCATTAAGATTATGTTAGCGTTCTTCCAAGACTCTGGTACTCTTCCCGTCAAGAGACACCTCGTAAACAGGGTGGCTAGTTTTTCCAACACAATCTGTCCTCCATCTTTCAGCAGATCTGATGTTACCTGATCCTCACCAGCAGCTTTGTCTCTTTGCATGCTCTCCAAAGCTTGTCTGACTTCTTCTATCATCTGGGGTGGCATCTGGGTTACCGCTGGTTCTTATAGTATTAAAGTCGTGGTTGTCCCGGCTACTGTACAGATCTCTGTAAAACTCCTCCGCCATTTTAACTATCCTATCCTTATTGGTTGTTATTTCGCCTTCTTTGTCCCTTAGTGCTTACATCCGATTTTTGCCTATCCCAAGTTTCCTCTTCACTGCTTTGACGCTTCTAAATGAGATTCTTTGTTTCCTGGGAAAGCTTGCCAGTGTTCTGTCTAACTACCCTGCCTCCAACTTCTACTGCACACTCCGTAATGATACTCGTCAGATTATCATTCATTGTGTATTCATTGTATCTATGCTAAGGTTGGTCTCCTCACTAAGAGCCGAGTACCTGTTCTGAAGCGAGACGCTGAATTCCTGTACTTTCCCTCTCAGTGCTAGCTCATTGATTGAATTCTTGCGTATCAGTTTCTGTCGTTCCTTCCTCAAATCTAGGCGAATTCGAGACCGTACCATTCTATGGTCACTGCATCATACCTTGCCAACCACTTCCAGGTCCTGCACGATGCCTGGGTGTGCACTCATTATAAAGTCTATTTCGTTCTTATTTTCGCCATTAGGGCTCCTCCATGTCCACTTGCGGTTTCCTCGTTTTCGGTAGAAGGTATTCGAACTCCGTAAATTATTGCGTTCTGCGAATTCTACTAGTAGCTCGCCTCTGGCGTTTCTAGTACCGATGCCATAATTTCCTACTGCCTGGTCTCCCGCCTGCTTCTTCCCCACATTTTCATTTAAGTCTCCCATCAGTATTGTATACTGTGTTTTTATCTTACGCATTGCCGATTCCACGTCTTCATAGAAGCTTTCAACTGAAGCGTCATCATGGCTGGATGTGGCGCGTAAGCCTGTACCACCTTCATCTTGTATCTCTTATTCAGTTTAATTACAATACCTACACCCTTTCATTAATGCTATAGTATTCCTCTATGTGGCCAGCTATGTTTCTGTGAATTAGGAACCCCACTCCCAGTTCTCTTTTGTCAGCCAAGCCTCGATAGCAAAGGACATGCCCATTCTGTAGCACCGTATAGGCCTCATCTGTCCTCCTAACCTCACTGAGCCCTATTATATCCCATTTAACACCCTCCAGCTCCTCGAATAGTACAGCTAGATTTCCCTCACTAGATAAGGTTCTAGCGTTAAACGTTGCCAAGTTCAGGTTCCAATGGCGGCCTGTTCGGATCCAGAGATTCTTAGCACCCTCTGCTGCGTTGCAGATCTGACCGCCGCTGTGGTCAGTTGCTTCGCAGCTGCTGGGAACTGAGGGCCGTGAGTTATTTGACGTATGCATGTGGGAGGTAGTGGCCAGATACCGCACCAGGGTGGCCAATCCTTCTCTGGTGAGGGAGTGCGTTCCCGGCGGTGGTTACCGGTGAGGCTACCCAGGCCTCGTAATGCAGTTCCATCACCACGCCGATTTTTTTTTTATCCGGTTGGGAGCTGCGCGGCACCGGGATTTGAACCACGGACCTTTTGCATGTGAGGCGTATACTCTAACCACTACGCCATCGCTGCTTATGCAACAAACATACGTTGAGCTAATTTCACAATAACATAGAAAAAATACCTCACATATGTTCAATGATCAAAACTAAACAATTTGTATATCAACATTGCGGTCTTGTAGTCCGCCCCAGTGCTTGACCTGTACGCTATTTATTTATTTATTCCTTGTTTACTTTCACACATATTTGTTTTTTGTTTGCGCGATTCCCACCTGGTGTGTCGAATTCCGGTATGACGCGGATGCCTCTAGCAGCAGCTTCGCTGATGACATGCTGCACATCTCTTGGCTGGTACACGCGAACTTCTGGGTCATAAGCACCCTGCGCACATAAGAGAAAGATGTCATTGGTAAAGATTCACAATAACAAAGCACGTCTTTCGTAGCACGCTATGGCATAACGTCTACGGAGCCCTTGACACGGTGTGCCTATAGTTAACATATCGTGTTAGCAACAGCAAATTCAGTAGGACCAAGAATCTTCACAAATTTTTTGTGTCTCGATATTTTTATAACAACAAATATTTTGGATTTCACCAGCAAAGACCTCTTATCTTCTATAAGTAGATTCTTGTGTTATCACTCTCCATCACACGCACAAACGCATAGGCCACTTGCAAATAAATAGATTTTAAAAGTAATGCACGTTTTAGGATTATCATAGCAAACATGTCGTGTTACGCAAAGCTTCATGACATCATCAAGGATTATCTGCGGTAATAATCTAACACGTAAAATACGCACATCGCAGTACACCACATGAGGCCATCTTAGATTCCTGAGGAAGTGTCGATTGGAGGGCTGTGTTTACTAATAAAAGTGAAGCTATTAGAAGGCCAGAACTTCCTTCGTACAGACAAAAAATCTTGACGCTGCGCACCATTGTATTTGTCACAGCGTGCCTCACGGTACAGTATTCTGTGCCCATATTGTTAACATTTAACTCATGCGGCCTTTGATTTGCTTCGGCGGGCTGTTAATCTACTATATATGCAGATACCTGCATCAGAGCATCCTGGGTGACCCACTTTCGCGTACGCACCAATCTTTCGAGAGAGATAACACTAGCATAAAATTACACTATCGGCTATCAGAAGATCAATCGCTTTCTGGCATTTGCTGTATTCTGTGTTGTGCTCTTTCACCACACTTGCCTCGTGCAATTCACTCTAAATTAAACACTTTTATTGCAAGAAGAAAAGCCTAGTCTTTTTTTGTTTACTAATTGCTGAGGACGATCTCGTGCTACGCAGCAGTGGCATGGATTCAGGGGGCAATCCCAAAATCGACAACTTCAACTGCTGTGGAGACACATGCGCTCTGCCCTATTTGTGTCTTTGAAAATACGCACACTAACTTTGGCTTTGTGCATTGCGCCCTAGAATAGCAGTCTTGACATAAGCGAGAAGTGAAGTACACTTTCTCAGTCCTGCGTTACTCAATCGGCAAAAGCAATCAGTCTTTCTCTGATTCTTTTGAAAAATGTACCGTTACATATCATGATGTCAATATTCATTTAAAAAGGTCTTTCTGGAATATTTTCCACAAGTTACATTATCGTGAAAATACCGTCTTTTCCTATTGGGTAGCAGAACTAAATTTTTAACTGAACCGAAACTGGAAAATTCAGAATAATAAGCTGCCTCGAACATTTTCTCTTGGACTCCTGCATGGTTCGCTAAGATGAAAGTCATTATCAATACTTGGCCATTTTATGCCTATTTGTTTCCGCTATGTTCCTTGAGGTACGCACTACATACATTGTTCAGCATGGCCTGCCTCATAAGCTTCACATGCTGCAGCTGTTGCATGTTGAAGCATCCATCATTTCTGTCAATATTTTAGCCATCATTTCTGCGAGTGACTACTCTAAACACAAAACTCGCATCAATATCTGTCAGTAAAATTGTTTCATAAATCCTCGTGCGTGCGATAGTGCCCAGAAGTGCCGTGTTTGAGTCCTCTTATTTTCGTCTGTACTCTGTTTGACACACCTGGTGCAATGCTGTGGAAGCTATGCAAGAAGTGTGGCTAGCAAAATATATATCTCCGCGCGTCTCGCGCTTCGATTTTATAGTTGTAAAGCTGGCCTGTCAGATGTGCTCCAGCTGCGCGCTGACAGAACCAATCGTGGTAGGAAAGAAGGAAAATAACTTTGTTCTGGTCCTGCGAAACGTGACTGCGTCACGCACCTGGCTCAGTCCCACGTGGGAACCGGAGAGCCGAGCCTGTCTGCCACTGATCAGCTCACCGATCACGGAGACCACAATCTGAATACACTGAGATGCTCGGTGATCCTGAACAACCTAATGATATTTCTCAGGCACAAATGATCTGCATCTATGACTCGGCCTAAAAACAAAACGAAAGAAATCCTTAGCAGAAGTGAAAGCATCAAACTATTTCTTCGTGCGAGCGCATCTACTGTAAGAAGTCTCGCCAGCTTTCATGGCATTGCACCTGATGTTCAAAAAGGAGTATAGTCATGGCAGTATTTAATTGTTTAAAATCAGTAAATAGTAAACAGTTCCTTTCAAAATGCTATTTATTATGATGATCATCATCAGCCTGACTGAACACGGGAGAGGCCTCTGCAGAGCAAAGGCCTCTCCCGTGTTCTGACAAACGATCGTGTCCTGTGCTGCCTGCTGCCTTGTTACAGCTTTTGAATCTCATCTGTCCATCTATTTTTATGTCTTTCATCACACGTTTGCCTTCTCTCGGAATCCAGTTCGTTAGCCCCAATGACAAGTGGTTATACTGGATACGGGCTCTGTGCCCGGCCGATATCCGCTTCTTCTTGATCTAAAGTTTTTCTTGGTCTCCTCACATTGACGCGATAAAAAAGATCTTTCCAGGAGAATCGGCATTTTAAATAGACTGAGATACTACGTCCCAACAAATGTCAAGCGTCAAATTTACTACACACTAGTACATTCACGACTAACATACTGCTCCTTGGTGTGGCTAACAACGACCACCACAAACCTAAATTCTCTGTTGATATTACAAAAGCATGCTATACGTGCTGTATCTAACACTCCCCTTTACGAAAGTGCTCGACCATATTTTAAAATGTACAAAGTATTTCCTATAAAACTGTTTTACAGACAAAAGCTATGTCTAGAAATACTACACGAGTATAAACTAAATACATCACTATTCTTGGACACATATTATGTGAAACAAGCACCATACGATCTGAGAAAGAGCCTAATATACAAATATAGATCACGCACGAACTTTGGTGACCAACGCTTAGCGTCACAAATTCCAAACATTCTAAACAAACACCCCAGTATATTACATTTACTGGAAGACGGAACTTCAGCTAGATCATTTAAAAAAATAACGAAAGAGTTTCTAGTGGGTGAAAGCGATGCTTTTCTTGATTTTTGAAATTGGTAGTTAATGATGTTTTTGTATTCGTTGCACCTTGTTCATTATTGTTTCTTTGCCTGTTGTTTTTTATAGTCTAATTTGTCTTGTTGAGCAACTCGATTTCCTAGTCAAGATGTCTCTTGTTAACTTATTTGATAGAAAGCATGCATTTGTTTATATTTGCCACCACTCAAATAAGGACTGTTTATATTTCTATTCTTTTATTCGCACTTCTGGCAGTTCCGCTGTTCGACTATGGTACCCGTGTAAGATAACACGTGATGTTGTAATTTTCTGTGTACTGTACTTGCTGTATGTTTCTGCTTTGCTGCCAGGGTGGCACGACCAAATCAGGCATTTACTTAGCCTTTAGTCGTGTCCCCCAAGGCAATCTTGTTCAATTTTGCCTCGAATAAAGCAAACCAAACAAACAAACAAGTACCAGATCTTTAACACCCGTTTGTTCCGTGTAACCACTCTGCTCTTTCGCAGTCTCTGAAGAAAACGCTAATACTGTGTAAATGATTGCGTGGTTCGTTAGAACAGAAGGCACTATTTTCTGCAGCACTTGTGGGAGCACGGTTCAGTGCCTTGTAAGAGATGAGAAGAGTCATATGAAAAGAATGTTAGACAGAGAAAGATATTGAAGAACGAGCACTCGTCACAGAGGAGCGACGGAAAGAGAGAATAGATAGGGAAATTTGGGATATGATCGAAGGAGTCCGAGGACGGGGCACCACTCTGCGAGAGCTACATGGCGTCAAGAGATCGCCGACGGCGGGCCGATCAACACTAGAGTCGGCGATCGCAGGCCGCACAACCGTATTGCACAAAACCTACAGAGTGAATCCCAATACTGAGTGGTAAATACTCAATCCTAAAGATGGCGCTAGAATTTTGCGTATGACCAGTGCAACTCTGCAGTCTATAAAGCATGCTTCCTCCATAAGCCACATCATGAGTAGCGCAAGCTGTTGCCGGCATCAAGATGAAAAAGGAAGGTGAAAAGCAGAGAGTTTACCAATAGCTGGCATAGTTGAGGAGAACTTGAGTTTGGTCTAGTTGTTGCCTACTGCCCGACATCTAGACCACACAAAAAGACGCCCGCGTCGTCGTACCTCTCTCCGTCTCTCCTTTTTTTTTTCTGTGCGTCAAGATGAGAATCACTAGGCATAGTTCAGGTTCTCATTTTTAATGGAAGTGGTAATATTAGAAATGATGTTTAGTACATTAAAGATATGAAATTAACCCAACCTTTCCATTTGGAGTTTCAGAAACTAGTGTGGTGTGTGTGTACATTTTTTGCCAGTTTGCAATGTTCGTATATAATAAATAGAAAAGCACACCCAACCCACGCAGTTTACCTTTTCGCTCAAGCTCGGGAACGTCTTGCTCACGTAAGGAAATCTTCGTCGTCCACTATGTGCCAGTGGAGAACATTCATCTTGTTATACGACATTGCGTCCTGTAATAGCAGTAATCATTTTCAGTAATAAGTGACAGTTCAAACAAAGCACACGTTTTACAAAGGTGTGGAAACCTGATTTAATCATATTTGTGCGTTTTTGTTCTAAACGCGAGCTAGATACCGACGCTAGCCATGGTCACTTTCTTATACAGTTTTTTTTTTCTTTGCGCAGAACAAGTAGGTCTTGCTTCCACAACAGCATAGTTTCGTGTCTTTTTGTCACAGGGGTTTCAAGATGATGATGGCATTCTTCTACTTTAATTACCTGCATGTCTGTAAAATAACACGGGGCTAAACTCATTACGTAGGACCCATGTGAAGCGCTTAGTAATCAGGTTCGTAAAATAAAGTTGTTTTGGTTGAGATATGGTGTTGATGTGATGAGGCATCTGGTTTGACATGCAAAGCTCTGATTATGTTTAATTCACTAAGTGGCGAAGATTTATCGAAGGTTGAATATATTAGGTGTGGTTTGTTTGCATCTCGAACAGCATATATACGTCCTGATCTCAATTACCACTCTGTGAACTAAAACACAAACAAATCAAACAGCGAAAACCAGAAAGAGGAGGTTGAGTGCCTCCAATTCCAACTTGTATGAGCACATTTTGCAGGTTCTAGCTAAGTTATAATTCACTGAGGCCCCCTAATGAATAGGTATACAAACGGGAAGTAATACACGTGTTGATGTGATTGATTGTAATATATTTCATGAATGAATGAAAATAAGCTGAAGCTCATGATGAAGTAAGTAGAACACCTCAGTCTAAGCTTGCCTTCTTTGGCCTCATCATATGACTGCTCTAATTTTTAATTTGCAGCGTAGGGCTAACCTCGATCGACGAGTACAAAAAGGCCTGCATACTTGCGTATGAACTAGCGTAATCTGATCTGTCATCAAACTGCTCGGGCTGCCGTGTTTGAGTCCTCTTATTTTCGTCTGTACTCTGTTTGACACACCTGGTGCAATGCTGTGGAAGCTATGCAAGAAGTGTGGCTAGCAAAATATATATCTCCGCGCGTCTCGCGCTTCGATTTTTATAGTTGTTAAAGCTGGCCTGTCAGATTGCTCCAGCTGCGCGCTGACAGAACCAATCGTGGTAGGAAGAAGGAAAATAACTTTGTTCTGGTCCTGCGAAACGTGACTGCGTCACGCACCTGGCTCAGTCCCACGTGGGAACCGGAGAGCCGAGCCTGTCTGCCACTGATCAGCTCACCGATCACGGAGACCACAATCTGAATACACTGAGATGCTCGGTGATCCTGAACAACCTAATGATATTTCTCAGGCACAAATGATCTGCATCTATGACTCGGCCTAAAACAAAACGAAAGAAATCCTTAGCAGAAGTGAAAGCATCAAACTATTCTTCGTGCGAGCGCATTACTGTAAGAAGTCTCGCCAGCTTCATGGCATTGCACCTGATGTTCAAAAGGAGTATAGTCATGGCAGTATTTAATTGTTTAAAATCAGTAAATAGTAAACAGTTCCTTTCAAAATGCTATTTATTATGATGATCATCATCAGCCTGACTGAACACGGGAGAGGCCTCTGCAGAGCAAAGGCCTCTCCCGTGTTCTGACAAACGATCGTGTCCTGTGCTGCCTGCTGCCTTGTTACAGCTTTTGAATCTCATCTGTCCATCTATTTTTATGTCTTTCATCACACGTTTGCCTTCTCTCGGAATCCAGTTCGTTAGCCCCAATGACAAGTGGTTATACTGGATACGGGCTCTGTGCCCGGCCGATATCCGCTTCTTCTTGATCTAAAGTTTTTCTTGGTCTCCTCACATTGACGCGATAAAAAAGATCTTTCCAGGAGAATCGGCATTTTAAATAGACTGAGATACTACGTCCCAACAAATGTCAAGCGTCAAATTTACTACACACTAGTACATTCACGACTAACATACTGCTCCTTGGTGTGGCTAACAACGACCACCACAAACCTAAATTCTCTGTTGATATTACAAAAGCATGCTATACGTGCTGTATCTAACACTCCCCTTTACGAAAGTGCTCGACCATATTTTAAAATGTACAAAGTATTTCCTATAAAACTGTTTTACAGACAAAAGCTATGTCTAGAAATACTACACGAGTATAAACTAAATACATCACTATTCTTGGACACATATTATGTGAAACAAGCACCATACGATCTGAGAAAGAGCCTAATATACAAATATAGATCACGCACGAACTTTGGTGACCAACGATTAGCGTCACAAATTCCAAACATTCTAAACAAACACCCCAGTATATTACATTTACTGGAAGACGGAACTTCAGCTAGATCATTTAAAAAATAACGAAAGAGTTTCTAGTGGGTGAAAGCGATGCTTTTCTTGATTTTTGAAATTGGTAGTTAATGATGTTTTTGTATTCGTTGCACCTTGTTCATTATTGTTTCTTTGCCTGTTGTTTTTTATAGTCTAATTTGTCTTGTTGAGCAACTCGATTTCCTAGTCAAGATGTCTCTTGTTAACTTATTTGATAGAAAGCATGCATTTGTTTATATTTGCCACCACTCAAATAAGGACTGTTTATATTTCTATTCTTTTATTCGCACTTCTGGCAGTTCCGCTGTTCGACTATGGTACCCGTGTAAGATAACACGTGATGTTGTAATTTCTGTGTACTGTACTTGCTGTATGTTTCTGCTTTGCTGCCAGGGTGGCACGACCAAATCAGGCATTTACTTAGCCTTTAGTCGTGTCCCCCAAGGCAATCTTGTTCAATTTTGCCTCGAATAAAGCAAACCAAACAAACAAACAAGTACCAGATCTTTAACACCCGTTTGTTCCGTGTAACCACTCTGCTCTTTCGCAGTCTCTGAAGAAAACGCTAATACTGTGTAAATGATTGCGTGGTTCGTTAGAACAGAAGGCACTATTTTCTGCAGCACTTGTGGGAGCACGGTTCAGTGCCTTGTAAGAGATGAGAAGAGTCATATGAAAAGAATGTTAGACAGAGAAAGATATTGAAGAACGAGCACTCGTCACAGAGGAGCGACGGAAAGAGAGAATAGATAGGGAAATTTGGGATATGATCGAAGGAGTCCGAGGACGGGGCACCACTCTGCGAGAGCTACATGGCGTCAAGAGATCGCCGACGGCGGGCCGATCAACACTAGAGTCGGCGATCGCAGGCCGCACAACCGTATTGCACAAAACCTACAGAGTGAATCCCAATACTGAGTGGTAAATACTCAATCCTAAAGATGGCGCTAGAATTTTGCGTATGACCAGTGCAACTCTGCAGTCTATAAAGCATGCTTCCTCCATAAGCCACATCATGAGTAGCGCAAGCTGTTGCCGGCATCAAGATGAAAAAGGAAGGTGAAAAGCAGAGAGGTTTACCAATAGCTGGCATAGTTGAGGAGAACTTGAGTTTGGTCTAGTTGTTGCCTACTGCCCGACATCTAGACCACACAAAAAAGACGCCCGCGTCGTCGTACCTCTCTCCGTCTCTCTTTTTTTTTTCTGTGCGGTCAAGATGAGAATCACTAGGCATAGTTCAGGTTCTCAATTTTTAATGGAAGTGGTAATATTAGAAATGATGTTTAAGTACATTAAAGATATGAAATTAACCCAACCCTTTCCATTTGGAGTTTCAGAAACTAGTGTGGTGTGTGTGTACATTTTTTGCCATTTGCAATGTTCGTATATAATAAATAGAAAAGCAACACCCAACCCACGCAGTTTTACCTTTTCGCTCAAGCTCGGGAACGTCTTGCTCACGTAAGGAAATGCTTCGTCGTCCACGATGTGCCAGTGGAGAACATTCATCTTGTTATACGACATTGCGTCCTGTAATAGCAGTAATCATTTTCAGTAATAAGTGACAGTTCAAACAAAGCACACGTTTTACAAAGGTGTGGAACCTGATTTTATCATATTTGTGCGTTTTTGTTCTAAACGCGAGCTAGATACCGACGCTAGCCATTGTCACTTTCTTATACAGTTTTTTTTTCTTTGCGCAGAACAAGTAGGTCTTGCTTCCACAACAGCAATAGTTTCGTGTCTTTTTGTCACAGGGGTTTCAAGATGATGATGCATTCTTCTACTTTAATTACCTGCATGTCTGTAAAATAACACGGGGCTAAACTCATTACGTAGGACCCCATGTGAAGCGCTTAGTAATCAGGTTCGTAAAATAAAGTTGTTTTGGTTGAGATATTGGGTTGATGTGATGAGCATCTGGTTTGACATGCAAAGCTCTGATTATGTTTAATTCACTAAGTGGGCAAGATTTATCGAAGGTTGAATATATTAGGTGTGGTTTGTTTGCATCTCGAACAGCATATATACGTCCTGATCTCAATTACCACTCTGTGAACTAAAACACAAACAAATCAAACAGCGAAAACCAGAAAGAGGAGGTTGAGTGCCTCCAATTCCAACTTGTATGAGCACATTTTTGCAGGTTTCTAGCTAAGTTATAATTCACTGAGGCCCCCTAATGAATAGGTATACAAACGGGAAGTAATACACGTGTTGATGTGATTGATTGTAATATATTTCATGAATGAATGAAAATAAGCTGAAGCTCATGATGAAGTAAGTAGAACACCTCAGTCTAAGCTTGCCTTCTTTGGCCTCATCATATGACTGCTCTAATTTTTAATTTGCAGCGTAGGGCTAACCTCGATCGACGAGTACAAAAAGGCCTGCATACTTGCGTATGAACTAGCGTAATCTGATCTGTCATCAAACTGCTCGGGCTGCCATTTTTAGAGCTGCAATTTCAGTCATTACGCGTTGATTTTTAATGAACACGAATGCGCTACTGGCAGCAGTGTGCTGGTAAGTTATCGCTGCATTGTATGGGTAGAACTCCAGACTCGCTACGACCCAAGCACTATTGTTAAAGAGTAGTCGTTGTCGTAGATTGGCGGAAAACAGCACAAATGATATGTGACATTGCCGGTGTTTTTCCTGCGTTGCTACTTCACAGCGTTTTGATAAAATAACGCATACAGGGGTAAAAAGAAATGAAAGCGGATACTGAATTCAATGAACCGTCTTGAAAAACCCCCAAGAATTTCCCCGAGGGTGAACATGGTTAAGTGCGAATGCACGGGGTGATGCTATGAGGGAGAGTAAAGTTAAAATCCGTTGGCATCCGCCAGTGAGTTAACGTAAACTCCCCTGTGTGATCACATTGCGATTCCCAGGAACGATGCGACCCTCTCGGGAAATCTTGGTGAGTTTACGCGTATGTGTGAGAGTAAATTCGCACTATACTGGTGTTTATGTCTGCGGCCCGCTTCGCTCGCTTGCGCTCGGCATCACGGGCCCTTCGCCGCGCTGCCTTGTCTTCAACCGGCGGGACATCTTCAAGGACGCGTGCAATGCTCGCATTCGATTGCGTTGTACTCGTTGTTGGAGGTATCGCAGTAAGGGTTGATGCCTGCGATGGATCCATACCTATGACGACTTGCCGATCTCGAGCAAGTCGTGGCTGCGCGGGCGCGCGCAGCCACAGAGCGAGGGCGGAGCGCACGCAATCACGTGGTGTGTGACATCACTGCGCAGTTGCTACAGACGCTCCTCTCCACTCCTCGTGCCGTTGCTAGGAGAGAGGAGGAGGCGCACCATGGACGGCGGATTCAGGGTCGCTTATAAAGTGCATTCGCACTTGAAAAATACACAAATGTCCGCTTCTGATCAATATTTGGGGTCTAACGTCCCAATACCACCTTATGATTATGAGAGACGCCGTAGTGAAAATTTCGACCACCTGGGGTTCTTTAACGTGCACCCAAATCTGAGCACACGGGCCTACAGCGTTTTCGCCTCCATCGGAAATGCAGCCGCCACATCCGTGATTCGATCCCACGACCTGTGGGTCAACAACCGAGTACTATCAGCGTCAAATGAAACCCGAACAGCGGCAAGCCTTCGGGATAGTATAGTGCGCGCTGTACACTCATCACTACGAACAGGCACGAATTTATGCGCAAAGCTGCCAAACGGGGTTCGCGCGCCTGTCAATGGTGATAACTGGACGGCACGCACCACACTATCGCAAAGGCTTGCTGCTGTTCGAGTTTCATTTGACGCTGATCGCTGTGGTTCAGTGGCTACCTTAGCCACTAGACCACCACGGCGGGCAATGTCCGCTTCTAAAAGGCTTGTCAGCCCAGTCACATGTAGGCAATTTATTAGTAGACGGAAAGCATTGACGACAGCTGAATAGAAACAGTAGCATGATTCAAAAGTTGCTAACAAATGGTACGGTGGCACAGATTTCGGTGAATACACATTGGGAAAAAATATTTTTTGTGCAATTATGTCGTTCCTCTGTAGCATTGGAACACCAGTGAATTGTTTGAGAGGGAACTGATGTCTTAACGAAGTCATTTGCTTTGCGTGCGCTCCTGTGTCTTTGTTTCATTACCACGGCCTTCATACGGACTTCTGCATACTGCGACAAAAAAGCTCCGTAGTCTCATTCATACCAGTGTCTTGACAAACAGTTGCTACAGAGAAAAATTCGCAAATACGCGACATGTAGGCACTTCAAGCAGTGCAACAAGCCCACTCACCAATGTGTCTATTATGGACTCCATTGGCAGGAAGTGCCGAGAAGAATCGATCAGCAGACCACGATGTGGAAATCTCGGCTCGTCGTAGATCACTGTCTCGTTTACGACCCACTGCAATGGTAAGAGAGCATTTCTTCCAAAGAAAAGTAAAGCACGAGGCTTCACTTGCACTTAGGGCAGGGTATGTACACCCTGCGATTTGTTACTCGCATCTGCTACCTGCTTTTCAGATACCTATTTTATTATTTTCTTTCAATATGCTCAAGAACCTCGCTTCAAGTAAATGAGGCTCATTGTATAAAAATGATTCTCTGGGTAGTAAGCGGGGGGCTTTTCTCGATCTTGTCCTCTGTAATGCTGCTGCAAGGTCATTTCAAAAATTACATTGTTGTCAGTTAAGGGTACGGGTAGTTTTCTATTTTTCCATTAGTACCTTCATATATTCCAATATTGACTTCGTTATTATTTAAATTGCAATTGGATTACCCCTTATGCTGGAGGCATATTTCATGAATTCTGTCTTGCCGGTTCTGCAGAAGACAGTGAAAGCGGCTACTAAACGCATGCTTAAGCATTCAAATCTATGCGCATACACCACAAAATACCGCAGCTTATTCAGTCCAATAGGAAATATTGGAGAGGGGTACGATTTAAAAAGAAACACGCCACCCATCGGCGACCGGCTTCGCGACAGCCACAAGATTCAAGCCATTCAAGCAGCCCCACCTTAGTTGTCTCCATAATGTACGTTAATAAAACGGAGGCAGCTCTACCGCCTCCTTTTGCTATAGTAGCCAGTTTCTGTCCATCGCGGCACCCTTGGCCTGAACAAACTAAAATGGGTGTAATTTCATTCATTCCTTGAAGAGTGATTTGCCTGGCTGGGTAAAATGATAAGAATAAAGACTTTCCAGCTTCGTTTAGTGTATAGATATTTGTATAATGAGAATAAAACCGCTCCTATGTTTTGTGACCTATTCAGTCTGTACTTCAGACAGTGACTGAACATCCCACTCCGAAGCTAGCTAGTTTCTTCAGTCGTTCTCCTCCTCTCCCTCGTCATTCTTACTACTCCGTTGTTTTGTCCGTTGGTCCGGATCCGATGGAGAAAATGCAGTAACGAAAACGACGGGAACAACGAAGGAGACGGGAGACAACCATAAAGAAAATAGCTAGCTTTGGTGTTGCATGCGCAATCATCCTCTGAAGAGCACAGACTTGATGAGTCATAACACATAGATCCAGATTTAAATGCGAATCTTTTCTTAGCAAACTTCGGCGATTCTTACGCATCTATCTAGCATTTTACGACTTTGTCCACTCTGGTCCGTATCGTTAATTTAATTTATACCTAATTGTTCTTGAATGGCATGACCATACCAAGAGCTAAATGACTGATCATATGAGAATCTCGAATTTTCATGAGCAACAAAGATTTCATGTAATCATCATGACGCTCTAACGGCCGTTTTGTTACCGTAATATATACAGATTTTGTACGTCGAGACCTTTCTGTATGACTGATATAAATGGCATGTGGTAAAATAAAAATCATGACGTGCATGTCATGCATATGCCATGTTCAGGAGTAGTTTGTGTCTGGTTTTACAGTTTGCCAAATGTACCACGTTTGGCCACCACCTGTCATCTGTGTGACAAACACAGATGACAGGTGGTGGAATGAAATTGACGATAATCGTGTCTTTTACGACTTGTAATACATGCCACGTTATGATGTGCTCGCAGCCGTTTCGCAGGTTTGGTATACACAAAAATTGGTATTGCGTGAGGCGACTGTATGACGACAATAAGCACGTTCCCTACGATGTACATTGTGCTATGCATGTTATGGACAGAATGCTTTACTCCTTGCTGGCTGCTTAAACCTGACTGTTCAACTTAAACGCGGCAGAACTGTCTGTATATAAATAAATAAATAAATAAATAAATAAATAAATAAATATATATATATATATATATATATATATATATATATATATATATTACCAGCCGTGAGCAGGAATCGAACCTACGACCTTCGAATAACGCGTTCGATGCTATATATGATGATGATATTCGATGATAAATATATATATATATATATATATATATATATATCACGGCTGGTTATCTTTTCATCCACTTTTCTTTCTTCTTTCTTCTTATTCACACTTCATTGGTTTTAATAACTTCCCCTGTACATTCCTTGGCATTACAGTCTGTTAGATCTCATTAATATTGTGTGAAAACACGGAAGAACGAGCCCTTAGGTATACACTGTTTTCCCTTATTTTATATATATATATATATATATATATATATATATATATATATATATACTGACAATGGTGCATGTGGCCACGTCGCTGCTTTGGTAAACATGTTGTGAAGGCTAGCAAATAAAGCTAAGAAACTTAACAGTGAACTTTTGTCCCAACTGCAGAAATTGAGAAACCAATTTTCACAACGCATATTCGATAACTTCCTGCCAAAATAGGTCCTCTTCTGCTACACATTATTAAATTACCATTCCTCGCAGTGAAGTGTTCAAAATCGTAGAGGAATATGCGAAATGACCAGTAGTTTTGAAGAGCTTGCACCATTTTTTGGCTGGCGTAAATGAGAGGCAAAAAAATAATATGTGCGTATTAGTTGCCTGTAGAACCATGCTACAAAGACACTACTTTGTCGCTTTTTCAACCCCGTTGATAGAATTTGTGCCTCGTTGAGCCATCAGGTAATCGAAGAAAGGCCCTAGTCAGGTGAGAAACGATATATATATATATATATATATATATATATATATATATAGGCAGGCATGGTGGTTGAGTGGCCGTAGCGTTGCATATAGTCTAGTAGATCCTCCGTGAGCGGTCACAACGTGGTTTATTTCGACGTTTCGGTCTAGAGTCTGGCCTTCATCAGGAATAAAAATACAGTTTGTTGGTGCTCAGCTTTATACAATCTCAAATCAGAGGGCAAGGAAAGAGGGAAAAAAAGGAAAGAAAAAAAGAAAAGAAAAGGAAAGAAGAAAAAGAAAAAAGAGAAAAATAATATACGGTGGACGCCCCTCGGGTGCCCCCCTTCCACTTTTCCCTCCACTTCCCCCCTCATTTCTCTCCCCCCTCTCCCCTTCACCTTTCTGATGTCAGCGGTCTGTGTATGTTTCCGTTCACTAGCGCATTCCTCCCGATCAGACGGCTCCTCTTGGCACTGGTGGTTCGGTGTGGGGCGAAAAAGAGCTTTTCAGGAAGTCCTAAGCCTCTAACTACTCGGGGTCCCGTAAACAATTCGTCGTAGAAGGACGGGGGCCGCGTATTGTGGCAGAGGCTGGTCAGCAGGCATTTTAGGAAGTTGTAAGCCTTTAACTACTCCGCGCCCTGTCAATATTTCGTCGTAAAAAATAGGGGTGCCCCGTATTGCGGTAGGCTGTGCAAGCGCGTGCAATGCGAATTCCTTGCCCGCTTCTAAATTACGCGTGTCGTAGGGGCCTTCCGGCTGTGCACATGGTTGCTGTTGGGCATGTCGTGCATGGCACAATTGATTGGGTAGTAAAATAAAACAGAAAACAGAAGAGAGCTGCACTTAGGAAGAGTAGTTACACTTGGAATTGTTTTGTGTTGTCCAGTGCCCTTCGCAGCTGCAGTGCCGTGAACTCAGTTACTATTTTCATTGTTGCCGTTATTGTTTTCTAATGCTTTATTGCTGCAAGTGTACCAGGATTCTCATTTATTCCTCTATCGAGGGTGTTAAATCGGTGAATAAGGTATGACTCTCGTTGTTCGCGTTCTCGATTTGATTTAAATCCCGTCTCTAAGAGCGTTACTAATAGTTTGTCGAATGCATGGTCGGGAAGATTGAGATGTTTTGATAGAGATAGACTTGGGGCGGATTTGGCTTGGGCTCTGTGATTATTGAAGCGAATCCTAAATGGTGTTTCTGTTTGTCCGATGTACTGCATACCACACACATTGCATTCGAGTAGGTACACCACATTAGAGGAATCGCATGTTAGGTTTCCTCGTATGTTAATCGAAAACTTGGATTGCGTGCTGGTTGCTTTGTCTGTTTCTCGCATCGCCTTACATACAAGACATCGTGGCTTTAGGCAAGGGCGGCATGAAATATTGGGGGGTGATGTGTTAATTTGGGAGTGGACAAGGGTGTCTTTGAGATTACGTGGTCGTCGGTAAACGACGCCTGGAGCGGATGGGAATGCGCGTTTCAGACGTTAACTTTGTTCCAGAATGTTGTAATGTCGTTTAAGGATTTTGTTTACATTGGGGAAGTTTGTGCTGTAAGTCAAGCAGAGGTTTCTTCGTTGTGGGTCTTCTCGTGGTGGTCGCTTCATGGTCTCAATCTTCCCGACCATGCATTCGACAAACTATCAGTAACGCTCTTAGAGACGGGATGTAAATCAAATCGAGAACGTGAACAACGAGAGTCATACCTTATCCACCGATTTAACACCCCCGATAGAGGAATAAATGAGAATCCTGGTACACTTGCAGCAATTAAAGCATTAGAAAACAATAACGGCAACAATGAAAATAGTAACTGAGTTCACGGCACTGCAGCTGCGAAGGGCACTGGACAACACAACACAATTCCAAGTGTAACTACTCTTCCTAAGTGCAGCTCTCTTCTGTTTTCTGTTTTATTTTACTACCCAATCAATTGTGCCATGCACGACATGCCCAACAGCAACCATGTGCACAGCCGGGAGGCCCCCACGACACGCGTAATTTAGAAGCGGGCAAGGAATTCGCATTGCACGCGCTTGCACAGCCTACCGCAATACGGGGCACCCCTATTTTTACGACGAAATGTTGACAGGGTGCGGAGTAGTTAAAGGCTTAGAACTTCCTAAAATGCCTGCTGACCAGCCTCTGCCACAATACGCGGCCCCCGTCTTTCTACGACGAATTGTTTACGGGACCCCGAGTAGTTAGAGGCTTAGGACTTCCTGAAAAGCTTTTTTTTTGCCCCACACCGAACCACTAGTGCCAAGAGGGCCCCTCTTGGCACTAGGGCCGTCTGATCGGGAGGAATGCGCTAGTGAACGGAAACATACACAGACCGCTGACATCAGAAAGGTGAAGGGGAGAGGGGGGAGAGAGATGAGGGGGGAAGTGGAGGGAAAAATGGAAGGGGAGCACCCGAGGGGCGTCCACCGTATATTATTTTTCTCTTTTTTCTTTTTTTTCTTTCCTTTTCTTTTCTTTTTTTCTTTCCCTTTTTCCCTCTTTCCTTGCCCTCTGATTTGAGATTGTATAGAGCTGAGCACCAACAAACTGTATCTTTATTCCTGATGAAGGCCAGACTCTAGGCCGAAACGTCGAAATAAACCACGTTGTGACCGCTCACGGAGGATCTACTAGACTATATATATATATATATATATATATATATATATATATATATATATATATATAGGGAGAGAGAGAGAGAGAGAAAAAAATAGAGCACGACGCACGTTGGTTTTGCACGGTATATTCTGATTGACGTTTTGGCTGGTGGAGCAGCCCTCGTCAAAGTGCCTGTAGGTCCACCAGCCGATCCACCAGCCAAAACGTCAGAATATACCGTGCAATACCACCGTGCGTCGTACCCTATTTTTCCTTATTCTATTGAGGCCAGCGTTAATTCCTTGCTGCAACTATATGTATATATATATATATATATATATATATATATATATATATATATATATATATATATTAGTCCAGTAGATCCTCCGTGAGCGGTCACAACGTGGTTTATTTTGACGTTTCGGCCTAGAGTCTGGCCTTCATCAGGATGATGAAGGCCAGACTCTAGGCCGAAACATCGAAATAAACCACGTTGTGAGACCGCCCACGGAGGATCTACTGGACTATATGCAACGCTACGGCCACTCAACCCCCATGCCTGCCTATACATATATATATATATATATATATATATATATATATATATATATATATATATAGTATATATATATATATATATATATATATATATATATATATATATATATATATATATATATATATATATATATATATATATATATATATATATATATATATATATATATATATATATATATATCATCACCAGTGTGGGCCTCGTATCGAATAAAAATCTTGGCCACAGTATCTTTATATTTTAGCACTAAGACAACAATTCATAGAAGCTTAAATCCACGGCTACCTACCGATTCTCCATCTGGCGAGTAGACAAGCTGACTGAAAGTTTCCAGTCCCCTCAGCGCTCCCCAGACAGTGCGAGCCGAGATGAAAGACTCTTCAGATGAGGATATGGAAAGGACATCTGAAAAGGAAATGAAAAACTGCATTTTGCTATCTCTGAGAGACAATCCAAGATATTTGTGAGATCTTGTCATCGATAAGGTCCGTGCAGATGAAGGTACTATGGGGGCACAATTTTGATCATAAGTTGGGGCCAGACAGGCAGAAGTGCTAGAGTGTCATTTGGTGATATATATATGCCATGGCAAAGAAAAATCAATGGAAGTGGCGAAACATGAGTCTGGTGTGCCACCCTTTTGATGCACCACTACGTGGTACATAGGTAGCCCATTCAAGCGGACGCCACTCCACAAGAAACTGAATTATGCAGCATTCCAAAAATTTATAATTATTGTCACATTTTTGGTGAGTGCACAGCTTGGCACGTCTAGCAGTGCAAATCTTTTACTAAGCACTCTCTGTAGAAACGAAGCACTCCTTATGTTTTATTTGTTTACCATTCACTGACGACTGAGTTTCCAATCACAAGTTCATGTCAACATTTACTGTAGGCTGACCTGCAATTTGAATGCTTTTAGATGAAGTTTGGTGCATTTATCTCGCCTTTAGATTGAGCAAGTGATTTCCGTTTCTGCTTAGTTAGAATAATTTGGCCAGCTCACCATGGTCGAAGAGCTTCCATTCTTCAATTATCTTGGCCAGTAGAAAAAAGTTTCACAAGTTCGCAGGGCCGTATCGAACAACTTATAGGTGTTCTTGTTGTGGTTACCAAGAAATATTATTAGCAATCTCAGTTTAAAACCTAGTTCTTAAACAATATTTCAGTTATTCTTAAGTATATAATGCTCGTATCAATTTCCACCAATTCTAAGACGCTTTTTTCAATGCTGGTTCGTGCAGTGTTCCATACCCTAGCTTTTGGTCACTTTCCAATAAAAATGCAGCACTTCTCACCAGTTAATATTATTTATGTTGCTAATGTTTGACTGCGTAATTACACCGGAGGAACCCAATTACTATTCAGGGGTAACTAACGCAAAAATGTCTAGCAAAAACAACACCTGCTGTTGATATGGGCGCAAGATAAGATGTACATTATTGTTTCTAATATACAGTAAAAAAGATGTTTTTAAGTTTTCGGTCATATATATGTTCAGAAAGGTAGAATGATTAGGTATCTGTTTCGAACTAAACATCACTACATTTTTTATTTGTTTGAACGTTTACTTCATGGCGAAATTCAACACGTAATGAACTTCTCGAATGCTCTCGTGAGATTGTGTCCGTAACAAACTCAGTTACAAACAGCTTTGCAAACACATTCTGAACTAACCGCACTAGACGAGTCACTAGCTTGTACGACGAAGCTTTTATTATTCAGTCATTCCCGAGTGTTTGTGCAATACTTACAGCTTTCATCCATCTGGTGATCAGGGATGTCTTCACAAGGACGAGACACCGTCACTTTCAAAACATGGAAAGCACCGTTGAATAAGTGGTTGTTACGGTGGAGACTTCCAGAATTTTGGTATCGCTCTCCTTTTGATGTTCCAGGTTTTGTGCAGTTTTGGAATAATATTTCGCGCCGGTAGCGCTTCAATGCCTGTTGCACCACGAAGCAGGGACCCTCGTACTGGAACGAGAAGGTGCTCGCGTCGAGAGATAGAGTATTGCTGCTTTTCGTCTGGTTCAGAGGCTGTGGCCACACCTCACCTTGGGTTGGAACGACCTATAAATAATCGGGAAAAATTTCACATTATATCTGCATTGCAGCAAGGTGGTCCTTTATTGCAGTGTAGAATACACTGACAGTCATGTTCTAACCGAGGTGTCAAGTGATATGTCCGTGCAAATATTTTGAAGGATCCTTTAAATCCGTTAGCATAGCAACTATGTGGTTTGAAAAAAATGGAGATGTTTAGGCATTCCAGTGTAAATACTGCTGACATTCTATGGTGTTACCATTCATATGATAATTTGACACATTGAAACAACCATTCTTTGCACCTCAAGTCCCTATGAATAAATTACATACCATCATTCAATTCACCACCACGCCTTTTGGCATCACCAGTTCTGCCATTTTCTAAACCTCAGCCCTGAGCACAAACGAATTTCAATATATAGCCTGATATCTACGTCTGCGGGAGTTTCAAGAATTGGGTCCAAAATACTCACAAGTAATCTATTTGCGATATTCGTTTTTTTTTTTGCGTCAGTGATCACATTATTTTTGGCAGCCGATATCCTTAGGTGGCCATAGATAATAGTCATAGGCATTGTTAAAATCTAAAATATTTTGGTTCTGAATAAACGAGGTTCGCGCTCTGGTCAGATGTGACAGTTGAAATCCTTCTCGCAGAGAACTTGCTGACTTCTTTCTGAAATTTACCAGAGATGGCATTTGGTGATTATGTGATTATTCAGGAGTAAAGAAGTGCGATCCAGTTCACTGGCGAAAGCGAAACCTAACCATCAAGAAGTGCAACAAGCCGTCGACCAGAATGACGTCATTGGTTCCCCATCCGCTGCAGTTATAAAGCTTCAAGAAGTCCAGTACATACTAGAGTGAATTCGGTGATTTTGAGCGACGCTTCAACTACCATAGGGTTCATGGGAAGCTGCATGTGTCGCGTGCGCTTATCGCTTTCCAATTGTTAATTAAAGTGTGCAGTTAACATTCAATTAGGTATTCTACGCTGCACTTCGTTGTCCAAGGGCTATGCAGCTATAGGCGAAATGATCTTTAATTTTTGTCGGCAGGAACTCATCAGGTATGAGGCCTATGAGATGGCTATATTCTCTTCCCTAGTAGGGTACCAAATACTCTGAGTTTTTAACCACTTTTTCTAAACACACACACACACACACACACACACACGCACGCACGCACACACACACACACACACACACACACACACACACACACACACACACACACACACACACACACACACACACACACACACACACACACACACACACACACACACACACACACACACAGGCATCGTATTTGCTGTGGATTAATTTTGTTCTTGATTACTCTTGTTCTCCTGTTCTTCCAACTTAAAGCCAAATGAATACAGTCACCTCCAATAAAAGTTGCTTCGTTCATTTATATGTGAAGCTTATTGCAGAAGGCTTGCATGATCGTGAGATGAACGTGAAGCCTGGATGCTCAGAACCAGGGTACGTATTGCTGTGATATTGTGGTCCAGATTTGGCCCGGACAAATAACAAGTTATATTTTTAAAATAGTTATTCTGCACAACCACGCTTTTCTTTCGAAAGCACTCATTGTTTAGTTATGAAAATAAAAGTACTTTATTCAGTAGGAAACACTAAACATGACATTTGCGGCTATGCCAGACACGTCAAAAAGAATGCATCTCTCATTCCTGTCAAAGGCCAATTCAGCGAATCGTAGCGGTTTGTCTATTTCATTTCGCTGTCGTATCGTAGCCAAGTTACAAAGGGTTTTGGTAAAACGCACTTCAAAATGAACAGGTACTTTTGCAACTTTATGAACTGGCACGAGACAAATTTCAATGGAGCAGCGCGAGAGCAACGCTTAGCTAAAACTATCAAATTGAAACTATGAAAACCACAACTTTACCGCAGACGCGGAGAGCTAGCACGCATCAGCCACATTCAACAACGAATGTCCAGTTTGAATGTTTTGCCCTGCACCCTACTACCCACGCCAGAATATGCCTAACCCTTTGCGGTATGATGCAGCTGCTGCTCACGGAACGAAACTGAAACTGTATAATAGAACTTGCAGACAGTTTGTCATCTAAAGCCATTAAAACACAAGCCTCTACTTGTTTTTATTCCCAGAGTGGTTAAACGATCACCTCGCCAGATAGGCTTACTAGCTTTTACAGTATGAAACTTCATGATTATAGCGCAAATAGTCCCAAACGTTTTAGCCTACTTGCGCTATGCCTGCTATAACGGCGCATGTAGCCTGTACAGTGCCCATGAAATGATGTAGTTGCACGGTTCATGTAAAGGCGCTGGATCATTCTCCACATCTCCTAAGTGTATGGCAATTACGCTTTCCCTTGTTTCGCTAACAGTTTGGCAGTGTAAATCAGTTGGATTTCCTTCTTTCAGAAAAATTGCCTGCGGCTCTGTTTACAAAGTTCTAAAGTGGCAATAGAGTCTTATAAGAATCGCCTCCAATATTCCCGTTTGATCCAACAGCCTGTATCCCCTGATGACAACGTTAACTTACGTAATTACTGTCATGGTTGTTATGTGGGCTCATCCCGATGTGCCTGCCACTATAAAAAAGTAATAATAATATCTGTATGTTTCCTTATTTTTTAATCCATTTAGGAAGTATTTTTTATTTAAAAAACACTGATGGGTGCTTGATGAATTGTGGCAGGAAATCCTCAAAACAAAAAAGTGCTTATATTTGTTCATCTTACTTTTTCTGCACTTGCAAATATAATAATATCACTGGGCCTATCAATCAAATGTTTTATTTATATAAATTACAGAAATTTATAGTTGATGCCCATGTACCGTGCAAAGGTAGTGCACAATAAAAAACACCAGATGACCGAAGTATCTTGAGTTTTCCATTTCAGCATCTTTCATATAGGTAACGTGGTTTCGGGATGCAAAAACTCCAAATATTGTAAGAAACTATGCAAATGATCATTTTATTTAGTGGTACTGATGGTTAGGTTGAACGGGAGAATTTGTTTCCCTCAATTTCTTAGGCTGTCATCTACCATTTATAAATGATTTCAGTGGAGGAGCCTACGGTCATTTTAACGCGATAGCGTTGCAAAACTCGTGTCGCATAAATTCCATCGGCGTCGGCCCCGTTGGTTGGAAAAAAATGGCAGCATATCCACGGAGTGAATGATGGAGAGTGGGGCGAAGCATTTGTCCGTCCATGCGTCCGTCTGGGTGACCACACATGCGTCTGTTCGTGCGCCCGCCCCTGTGTCTGTTCATACATCCATCCATCCATCTGTCTGTGCGTCCGTTCGTCCATCTATTCAACACTCCAAGTCCCACCATCTCGCATCTTTTTAACATATATTCCCCACATAGAAGCACCGCCATTCAGTGCACACTCCAAGCACTAAACGAGAGGTGGCACACGCACACTTTCTTATGGCTTGGGCTTCGGGTCTACTTCCCCCCTTCAACCACCTTGAGTTCATGGTATATACTAGTTCACTGTATTCATGGCACTGCGGCCCAATGCTCGCTAAACCTTTCTTAAACCAAGGAGGTTACGCCCAGGGAGTATAACGTAGCAACCATTTCCTGTCAGATAATGCTCAATGTACATGCCAGTGGCTGCTAATGTGAAATGAGAGACAGGAGGATTCAGCTTTTAATTTCTTACGGCTTGCACTTCGTATCTGCTTCCCCCCTTTAACCACCTGGAATTCATTCATGGTATATACTAGTTCATTGTATTCATGACCCTGCAGCTCAACGCGCGCTAAACCTTTCTAAAGCTAAGGAGGTTACACCCAGCGAGTATAATGTAGCATCCCTTTCTTGTCCGATAGTGCTCAATGTACATGCCAATGGCTGCTAATGGGGATCGCAGCGTGCGCGTTGACTAAAAGCCGAATGCTCCTGTCTCTCATTCCCCATTAGCAGCCATTGGCATGTACATTGAGCACTATTTTTCATTGTTAAACAACGCACAGAAGAAATCTCTCACTTGCACCACCTTGGAGGTAAAATGTTATACCTATTTCGAGTATGTGCCACTCGTGGTTACGTACTACAAGGGACGCACAAGCAATGCCATAAGGAGCTTCGCCCCTAAAATCACCCTTAGGTTTGTTGCGTTCTTAGGTTTGTCCTTTAGGTTTGTCCCTTAAATTTGTTGCGTCCCATGAGAGAATAAACTTTTTCTAAACACAAATCACCCGTGAGCGAAAAAGCTTGTTACCGAGATTGCTGCGGCATGCCACTACTTGTCCATGCGCCCGCGCGCGATCATATTGAAAAAGCCGTTCATTCGGAGAAAAAAAAAAGAAAGAAGTGCTCAAGGTCACGAGGCACGGTTAACGTGGCTCCTTTACCTCTCCCACCTCTCCCTGCTTAGCTTCCAGCGCTTTCGAATGGAGGAGAGAAAGGAGAATGCAATTACAGATATCGGCAAACCTTTGTAACTTCACTCGCACTGGACAGATTGTTAAAATTATTATGGCGCCGTTAAATTTGTGAGGCAATAAGCTCTTCTAGCAAATTCATTCCATGGTTACTTGAAAAAGTGTTCCAGGGCCCTTTAACGCATTTTGTTCGACAGGTGTCACGACCAAAAGGAGCCCAGTCGGTGATCCGTAAGCGCATTTGGGAGGCCCCAAACTACGTCGAAAAAGGCCGAGATAGTACAGCCGCCACCGCTAAAAACACACAGGAACTTTCGAACAGCTTTAAAAATAAACAACTATCTCCATCTAGTGCAAAATGTATCAGGCATTTCCAGAGTTATTGATCAAGCAAACAGCCATCGCTAGATAATGTGCTGCCATCTTAAGATTATGAGACTATTTATGGCCTCTGAGATGGCGAGAGCACAGCATGTATCTTCGAGGATATGCGACTCTCGATTTAGATCAAAAACATATATGTACCATTCCTACGTGCGCGCTGGTACAATCTACTGTGTGCGTGTATGTGTGTATGTAACAAAACATATTAATAAGTATGCACTTAGTGGTTGAAGGGTGTGCACTATGGGCCGGATTTCAGTATCGCGTTCAACTATTAAAGGTGAAGCTTAAGGGTCCGCCATTTTTTTTATCCTCCATAGGTGCCAAGGCTTGCGGCGTCTGCCTTTATAACGATACTTTGAAGCATAGCCCTTCCCCATGCGAGGAAGTCGTGAGACGTCTCTTCTTCTGAAAAGCTTCCCTGTCAGTAATATGCGTTGCCCCCGACTCTACCAAAATCCTACCAAAACAGGAGAACTCAGCCGTGAAGAATTCGAGAAGCTGAGTGCAAGAAATAACGCCACCAATATCAGCAGATTTTTCTTACTTCTTGTACAGGAAAGCCACGTTCACCCTGGTATCGTGAAGAAGACGGAATCAAGTTGTTCCTCTGAACAATACACTGCCTGTATGTGAGTTCTAGCTAGACTCCACGTAAGAGCGCCCCTCTGGTATCCCACTCACGGCTATGGGTGACTTTCATGAAGTAAGTATTAATTTTACTATTCTTCTATTAGCATTGTGAAAAAGGAGCCCAGAAATACGAAAAATGGCTTGTCAAAGCCTCACAGGGCTTGAAGGACAGAGCCGACACCCTGGTATCCCTGGAGCTGGCCACAAGACTATTCGTTTCGGATAGGAATGACCGACAACGCTTTTACGCGACGCCTACAGCACCGAGAAGACTTTTCAGTGTATCTTCTGCGATTCTCCTAGCTAAGCTCTCATGCAATCTATTCGTCTTTACAACAGAAAGGTGACACTATGAACTATTGTCTATTGCATGGCTGAAAAGACAGTGAGAAATCAAGTGACGAAAGCAATGCTAAAACTAATATGAACGACAGACTTGCACGCGCGGCTGTATACTCTTAATGATGAATACGCATCCTGTCAAGCCTAATCTATGTCGTTTTTGTCTGTACCAACCAAGCTCCAGTGAATGTCTTCGAAGCTGAAAATAAACCCTGATTGATTGATTAATTGATAGATTGTGTGCCACACAAAAGCACTGCTCAGGGCTGTGACAATATGTGTGTGCTCCCCCTGTGTCTCATTTTCTTTACTCTTATTTCAACCTTCCCGCTAATCTTGCCCCTGTGCAAGATAGCAAACCTGTTATGCAAAACTTCATGGTCAACAGCCCTGTCTTTCCTCCCTCTTGTTTTCCTTCTTTCTAAAACGTGGCTCTAGTTATTTTGGCATACGGACCTCCTTAAGGATGGTGCAGAAATTGTGCCAAAAGTATTACCCACCTTATATACAAAATATCTCTTGATGATAAATTTATGTTGTTAGACTTGCGCTTGTCCTGTTTCCTTCTCTTGTGTGTTTCCTTTTGTGCGCTGCCCAATTGTGGATATGGTACAACTCACCCACCCTTTAGTTCTACTATAGAATAGAGTAAGCCTGAACACAGTGGGTCATTGGGCTACTCGGTATAATTCTATAAAGCCCGTATGAATCAATTTTACTGCAAAACGGCAAAAAAACGAACATGATTTCATTTTGAGTTAAGGCACACACATTCCGCCAATTTCCCACAAAGTCGGTGCCGTCCCCAACAGCTATCCACTTCTTTCTACGGGACAGCTGGCCTGAACCATCCTTGTACCTACTTGCCGGTGCATAGCCGACCATAGCACTTTTTAGAGGTGAAGCTCCTTTTAGTCTAAGGCAGTCCCACGCCCCTTCGGTATTACCAACACATAATATTCAGAAACAGAGAAACAGACAGACAGACAGACAAACAGACAGACAGACAGACAGACAGACAGACAGACAGACAAAAAGGCAGGCAGACAGGCAGGCAGGCAGGCAGGCAGACAGGCAGGCAGATACATACACACGGACGGACGGACAGATTCACACTTTGCCCCACTCATCATCATCCACTCCGTGAATGTGCTGTGATTTATTTCTGCCTCACACAGCAGTGAAAAAATTTTCGACATTTTCACCAAGAATGCGTAGAAAGTTTTAAGGCGTGGCCAGTGGCCCTGACAGAACCTTTACAGAACTGATTTCAGTAAACTTCCAACGATAATATGACGTTAACATATCAAGAAATAAAATATATTGGTTAAACGAGCAATTCTGTTTTATACACAACTTTTCTACAGGATCACTTCTCAGCGTGATTTTGGTTGCATTCGTTATAGTAAGCAAGACTGCGGCTACTTTACTGCAGTAACACATTCATTTGGAACACCTTTTGCACGTTTATGAGCAAACTTTCATCGTTAATATGCGGCCTGTTTTACGTTGCATGAACATTTTTATTTACATCGTGAGCTCACCACGCGCGGTCGCCAAGAGTGGAGAGTGTCTTCATAATCTTCAGATTGTCTATGCCTCCATTGTCTATGCCTCCACGCCGAAGCCAAGGCCAGGCAACACGTCAGCACCGATAGGAGCAATACCGAACGGACGCAGCAGTGGTGCCTCATTGTGATCCTGCTGGCCCTGTGAAAACAATGCGATGTGTTGGTCTAAGATGCTCACACTTTTTACAACGTTACCAACTTTCAGAAAAGCTAGCACTACCGAAATGCGTGTCTAGGGTTGTTCGCCGTTATAATCTCCATGAACGTGCCTGCAAAAACATTTATTATAAGTAATTTTTTAAATACGTTACGGTAATATGTGATAAAAATAATTATGTGCTCCGAGACAGAATCTTGGAGCCATTTAGACATCACCGCGATATGTCATAATTATCACTTATATAAAGAACAGCAATACCAGGATGGTGCCATAGTCTAATCACCTGCACTATCACATCATATTTCAATAACGGTCACTAAAAGCAAGGATGCCTCACAGAGTACTTTGACTGCAGTCGTGTTCGTGCGACGATCTTCAAGGAATTCAAGGAAAAGATTTGCAGAACACTTGTCTTGAGCAGTTTTGAGACGTACATGTTACACAGGCATAAAGGACAAGGAATTCTTTATTTGGCTTGTGTTTTTTCTTTAACTATTTACTTATTTAGTATTTCATTTACACCACACTACTATGAATCACGGATAGGCATGTGGGGAACAGCACATTAGACAATTAGGCAAACATGCAAGATCAAAGAAATGGTCAAAGTTAACAAGAAAACACAATAGATTATACACCGATATTGTAACAAAATAAAAAATGTACATTTATTAGCAGTGTTGACACCCTGAAATTATTTGCATTTTGTTTCGTTGCCAATGCTCTCAAGGCCCTTCGTGAAATTCCTACACTTATCTCCTATTTCAAGCAAGTGCCTGCTATCAGGGAGCTAGCGGTAGGGGAGTAAATCTTCAGATTCGGAACAAACAGTATGGGAATATTCATAAGCGCGTATACACTAATTAGGATCTTCATACGAATTCACTGCACTTTTATATGGAAATCCCCACCTGTCTACATGAAAAGGGGAGGATGACCTCCGGAATCAGAGGCAGACTTGAGGGCCATGCGTTGCTGCACAGGGCTCTTGGTAATGGAATATTATTCTTTTTCGGATAATTCATGATGTTTTCCTTGTAAAAAAAGGGAGCTTCGCCCTATATATATAAAATCACTGATGCCTTGACAGTCCATACAATGAGCCCGAATTTCAGAGTAATAATAATAACTCGAGAGGATAGGATTAGTCTCCGACTGATGTGCGAAAACAGATTGCCTGTGGCCTAGCCAACTAATCGTGTAGGAGTGGGAAAGATTGAACCCATTTGACAATGTATTGTACACACACACACACAAACACACGCACACACACCCACCCACCCAACCACACACAAACACACACAAACATTATATATATATATATATATATATATATATATGGAAAGAAGTGTATACCTAAGGGCTCGTTTTTTTGTGTTTTTACATTTTTACACAATATAATGAGATCTAACGGGCAATAATTCCAAGGAAAGTATACGGGAAGATATTAGACCAAACTGTAATGCAAATATGAAGAAAAGTGGGTGGAAAGATAACTTGCCATGGGCGGGATGTAAACCTGCGACCTTCGAATGACGCGTTCGATGCTCTACCCCTGAGCTACCACGACAGCTATACCCCCAGCTGCTTTATAGGGTTTATATGTAAATTAAACGTGGCAGTGTCAGTCAGCGCCACCAGTAGCCATGGCAGCGAGTGTGGCACACTCTTTTTGAGCCTGTTTGGCGTCACGTACCACGTGAACTTGTTACGAGTGGGCAGCTGACCAATAGTCCCTCGAATACAACCTAAAGGCACTAAGTCTGCTAGTACGAGACCCTCGTTAATGAATAAGGAAAGAAGTGTATACCTAAGAGCTCGTTTATTAATGAGATATAACAGTATTATGAGATATAACAGTATTATAACAGCATTATTACTGTTATACTATAACAGTATTAATGAGATATAACATATTAATGAGATATAACAGACAATAATGCCAAGGAAAGTATAGGGGAAGATATTAGATCAAGTTGTATTGTAAATATGAAGAAATGTGGGTGAAAAAATAAATTGCCGTGGGCAGGATCCTGCCCACGGCAAGTTATCTTAGTGTCTTCCGCTAAGGCGCCAACGTCGAAGGCGAAAACCCGCCATGAGTGTCTATCAGTTGATTAGTATGTGGGGTTTAACGTCTCAAAATCACAATACGATTGTGAGATACGCCGTAGGGGAGAGCTCCAGAAATTTCGGCCACCTGGGGTTCTTTAACGTGCACCCATATCTGAGCACACGAGCCTACAGCCTTTTCGCCTCCATCTAAAATGCAGCCCCGACACTCTGCATTTGTCTTCGCGATCTGCGGGCCAGCAGCAAAGTACCTTAGCCACTATACCACCGTGGTGAGGCAGTGTCTATCAGTGGATATCGCAATAAAAGACCGCGTACGAAAAAAAAAATGTTTTGTGGGGCCAGCGCCTGAACTTGTCAAGTTATTTTGCTGTTTCGTAGTTCTTCAGCAATGTTATGTGACTTCATGTTGTTCGCAGTTCGAAGAGTTGTCTATGATCAGAAAAATAAATAAAACTATTTTATTACTATTATTACAGTGTTTTATTCTAAAAGAGACAAAACGCGCTTTCGAATTTAAAAACAGAAAGTGATACCATGCAGATTATTCTTTTCTTAAAGTTGTACTCAGTGTCTCCTAAGGATCACATTGCTTTGGGTCACCACCTGTGGCTCGGAATTTAAAGATTCATATTGAATGTGCTTAAGCATATCTTCAACATATCCTACGGAAACAGATTGAAATGCCTCCCTCAGGGGGACCAGAAAACTGAGTATGAGCAGCATTTTATGAACAGCCCGCACGAACCCAAAAATTATTTTAAAAGCAGTGCTAGCACAGATGTTTCAAAATCTATTAGGTGCCAGAAAAATGACACAAAAACACAGCAGAATCATAACATCACGCATTGTATTTGTTCTAAAGGTACTTGAATCTGAGTAAGAAAAACTGATCTGACAAGACAAAAACTAACGCATCTTTGGTGAATAGTTTCTACAGATGCCTTGTCGCATATCCCACTGCACGGCGAGAGGGAATTCTGCTGGTTGCCTGCGTTTTTAAAGCAGCTGAATCAGAATGTTTGATATTCGTTTTATGCTTATTTTTCTTGGTCAAATGCTCTGACACGTATCCCCACATAAACACTGGCCGTCAATGTGATGCTCACATTACACTTTCGGTAATTGCCGCTTAACAGAATCAAGGGACACAATTTGAAAATAGAACTGCTAACTGTGAACACAAAGTGCATAAATGTTCGTTAGAAAACCCTTGCTTATGGAGGAACAAGAACTATAAATTGGGCTCGCGATCTCTGGTCGCATCTCTCTGACGACAGCCCCTGAAATTCTTGAATATCCAGGCGTTTCTTGTTCTTGCATGGCCAAAATTGCGAGAACTAACAAGAATGGCGATTTCGTCCATATTTTTTCTTTGGCCATACCACATGCTTCCTTGCTTCTCATGGTGTTTGAGTGATTGGTCATTACTGGGAGTTAAGAACAGCACCCGTGAAATATCTTCACGCTCGAGACGATTGAAGTAGTAAGAAAGGTGATGCACTCACACGACGGTCGGCTGGTAGTCGAATGAAGGGAAGAAACGGAGCCCGAACGCACGCTGCCAACGAGTGCAGATTTCTTATCGGTGTGCCGATTGACTTTCGAGAAAGCGGCGGGCGAGAGCGATATGGCAGGCACGTGACGGATGTCCTACGTCGAGTAGAGGGTTGACGGCGAGAAGAACAGATTGTTTGTCGGTAACTCAAAACCATAGTGCGTATCGTGTACAACGAGCATTTCGTGTTTGGAACTCACAGCTGCCAATTTCAAGCGGGAGGTGCGTGTGCTGTAGACAGGCCGAGAGAGAAGGCGACGTATGTTACCGGCGTCAGAGGACGCAGTTCCTTGAAATCACCGTCCAGACGTCGTTCAGCAAAACTGCCGGCATGCAAACAGCAGCCAATCAAGGCACCTTAATTCATTCAATCACCATCTCTGTAACAGATTTGATGACGAATTATTGGTCGAATCGTTCAGAGCTGTAACTTGGAGCACTGCACCTCAAAATAACAACTACGTGTAACTTTAACCTTGCTTGTACATGTATTTTCTTCGTTTGTGAATTGCAACACCTTTTTTAATAATTTTTCACATCGCTACATTCTTCATATTTACAAAACCAATCATTTCATCACAAATAATTGGTGTTGCTAAACTCACTATACTTATTTTATTGGACCAGCTAATATAACTACGAAATCAATCGGTTCAAATATTCTACACGTTCTTTGTAACTATGTCTTAAACAACACATTTTATTTAGTTTAATTCTTAGCAGAATTGAAGAGTGATAAAGGCGGAGTCTACTTTTACTTTGAAAATAGGGAAACTACGTCGACTTAAGTGGATGCCCAGTACTGTGGACGTACAACGCAAGAGAAGGAAACATATCAGATGGTACGCGGAAAACATAATAGAATAGATAAATGTTCGAACCTTCAAATGTCACCTTCATTAGTAAAGATTTATGATAAAAAAGTATGTGTGCACACAAGAACAATAAAGATGATATCAAAGCAATACAAAGGGCGTTGACTTGTGGTCACTTTTTGGGTGTGCTTGTCAGAAAGCGTACCTTCTTGTACTCGAAAATTTTGCTTTTAGCGAACAAGATAAATAAGTAAATAGTAAATATGAAGGTTAATATCCTATAAAAGGTAACCATAAAGATGAAGAATAAGGTATCCACACAAGCTGAAGAATGGCAATAGAAAGTGCTAGTAAACGAAACGAGAAACTGAGAACGACTTTGTAAGGATCGAAGTTTTGATGTCTGAAGCTGACAACAGGACAAATTCCACGCTAAAGTAGAGCTTTTCCGCCAAAGAAAGCTGATGTACATTCATGTTAGGGAAAAAAAAGCATCCGTGTGACTTGTCATGCTTCACGCATCAACCCTAATGCACACCTAATATTTTTACAGTTGTTTGATGTTATAATACAAAATGACGTTTTGTCCTTTTATTATTAACTCGTAAAAACTGCAACGTGTTTTGCTTTTTTCCATCAGTTGTTTGTCTCCTTGCAACATTGTTTCTCTGCGGCTCGTGGCTATCTCGCTTGCAAAACCAAAATATTCAGACACAGCAGTTGGCTTATGTGCTTCTCAGCCGTTACTATGACACACATACGCTAAAAAATATCGCACACCTGGTCTATTGACTTGCGAGGCTGGTCACTTGACGAGATCTGGAGTAAACCAAGTGCGCCTACTGAACAATGACATAGGCCAAATGAAAGAGAAAACAAAACGAATCACGAATCATTAAGTCGTTTAAAGGCTTTTGTTTAACAGCCGAGCCTATGCGCATACTTCCGCCACTGCCATTATCAAGATGTTCACATTGTCGACTTGCCTTTCCCATGCATCTTAATATTGCGAAAAAAAAATGATCACAGAGCATCAGCACGCTGTTCTGTAAGGCTATATCTGGTTTCGATAAACGTTTTCACACACGTGCTCTGTGTCTAAAGATTAAATTACGTATGTAATTGTTTTACCTATCAGTATTTTTTTGTTTTATTACTGGCATTAGGTCCACTGCTCATTTAGGTGAGTCGGCTTGTAAGCACCATGGGTATCGTAAAACATCGTCGGCTGAGGGTCAAAGCACACCAGCACAACCGCAAAAAAGAATGCGAAGCACTGACCAGGATAGTAATGGCTAAGCAATCTACACGATCGTGCTTATAAAAGGTACCCGGAAAGAAGTGCTTATAGTAGACTGCATGAAAGATCTTTTTTTAGTCCTCTTAAACACCTTTTCGCTTAAATGTTCGGTTATAACATCTGACTAAATTAAGCTTTTCCAGCGCCGAGGATTCCCTTAGCAGGCCACTTCAAACTGTCCATGCGCTCAGCCAAGCGAAGGCAACAATTGTATTTTCGAATAGACAATAGTATCGGACAACCTTAGCGTGGCACCTAAGTTTGTTTTGGGGCAACGTTCAACATATGCTTCAATTTTTGTTGTACTGCTATTTCTTCTTCTTTCCGTGCGCATACAGATAGCTTTTTTGTCTGTTGCCATAATGCCTTTCATTTCTCCATACTATCCCAGATATTGCTCTCAAGGTGAGTGTCCTTTACCTTGCCGTTTACAGCAACTTCCTTCTTTCTGCTCGGATACAGAGTTGAAATCCTCAGCCATGTTTTTCTTAAGAGACCATTGACCTCCCTGGTCTGAGAAACAAAGGTCTTCTAAAAGAACAAAATATATATCAATTCATATTGTAATGATTTCGCCACTCATCACTATCATTATTATGTTATCTTATGGTAACAAGTCAGAATTTTCTCAGAATGATATCCGACTCCCGCTAACCCGAGCGCTATGATTCCATTTTATCACTGGCAATTTCTCAGTTCAGTCGCTCTACATAACCTATTATCGACATTCTGCATCACTTCTAATCTTTTTTTTTCACGCCGTCGGAGACCACTGGTTTGCTGCATACTTCGTCACTGGACTTGCCCAGGTCTGTTTTTATCTTTATTCTGAACATCTGTTACACATTTTTGTGCCCTTGTTCGTTCATGTGCCTTCCTATCCTTCTTCGCTCCACCTCGCTGCTTGGGTTTCTTTATTTTTCGGCTAGTTCTTGCACCATATGCTACACGTGAGAAATTGGAATCACTCTAAATAATAACGTAATAGTGTTAAAGAGCTCGTTTGGCCGAAATTCTGGAGTTGGTGTTGGCCTACGTTGGTGTCGTTGGTTGTGAGCAAAAAATTATCATCTTATGTGCGACCTAAAAATTGAGAAGGATGCAAACAGAAAAATAAATGATGAAATATACTGAATCAGAGGGGAGACCAAGCAAGGGTTGTTTCGGTCTAAGTAGGGATCGAAGCCGGGTCGTTCACGAGGGAAGCGGCTGTTCTACCACATGGCCACACCTACACTTGTGAAACAAAAGAAAATAAATTCTTCTGCTTTGAAATGCAGTGAAAGTAGCTTTCACGCTTCACAATCGTACTCGTTTTGTACACATGCTTCCAAATGCAACATTAAATATTGCAGTAATAATGCATGGTACAAGCGTCCAATGCCAGTGGTTGTCAGAATATCTGAATAACACAATGGCTCCGTGGTTGAAAGCCGGTACCCTACTACAAAAGGCCCACACACTGCTGGCCTATTCTCTTAAGGCCACGCACTAAGTGCATAGCAAATTTGAAAAGGTTTCCATGCACTAAAGGTTTGAAGTACGCACTAGAAACAGGATCTTGCTGTCGCATTCAACTCCTAAAGGACAAGCTTTAAAATTCCCTAATTTTTATTTTTCTGTGATAACAGCGACTTACTAGTCAAGAATAATACATGTATCCCATACGTGGCTGAAGGGTGTCTTGAAAGGCCGCTGGCAGATAACTGCAGAAGAACAACGCCAAAATTGGACTTAAACCGAGGAACAGACAGCGCAGTACTTGTGTTGTCAAACCTCAGTCAGTTGCGTTTTCCCACTGTTCCCCTTGCTGTCTACCGCGAGTGCACGATCCTATTCTGATTCTTGAGTTTTCCTTTAACGTAAGTAGTGTTGTGTTTTTTAATAAGACCAAGATGTACGAATGCTTCTGTGGACTCTAGCGTCTAGGTGTTTCTTTAAAACTCTCGATCGCTCAATGGGCTACCCAGCAATATCTTTATATAGGTCTGTTAGGAAAGTATCTGAACTTTGGCGGAAGAAAAAAAATACTGGCATGATTGGATCGTTGGAAACCTTATCTCCCTCAAAGTAGTCCTCTTGGGACTCCTCAAACGTGTCGCAGTGGTGCGGCCATTGTCATAAGCATTCTGTGAAAGCCTTTTTTCGGAATCAGCTGTCATCGCAGCCATAATGTTTTTCTTTTTCTGGAATCGCTGTCTTCTTCAGTTTGGGATACAGCCAGAAGTTGCAGGGAGCCATATCGAGAGAGTAATTGATTGATTGATATGTGGGGTTAACGTCCAGAGGCCACCATTTCATTATGAGAGATGCCATAGTGGAGGGCTCCGGAAATTTCGACCACCTGGGGTTCTTTAACGTACACTCAAATCTGAGCACACGGGCCTACAACATTTCCGCCTCCACCGGGAATGCAGCCGCCGCAGCCGGGATCAGATCCCGCGATCTGCGGGTCGGCATCCGAGTATCTTAGCCACTAGACCACCGCAGCGGGGCTATCGGGAGAGTGAGGAGCAGCCAAAGGAGTCTTACGGTTCACCAAAAAAGTCTGAACCAAGTGTGGGAAATGTGCACGAGCATTGTCCTCATCGATGCGCCAGTTCTCTGTTAACCACAACTCGGGTCTTTTGCGCCGCACAAGGTTATGTAGGCAACAGAAAACATCCCTGTACTCTTTGGTGATTGTTTGACCTCGTCGTGCGTATTCATGATGTACTACGCCACGGGAGTCAAATGAAGCACTGATGCATTCGGAGGTCGGACCATAAGATCGGGGCCAGCCAAAGTCCCGGGCAGATGCTGAGGAGAGTAACCAGTGCGGTTAACAGTAGCGTTTATTTACACTATTTAGAGGTAGCGCGATACATGGTGGTGGTAGCATCACGGAATCTCTCGATGGAAGCTTATGACAGCTGCGGGGA